TCTACAATAGGCATAATTTGATTTCTTTTCCTATTTGCATCCTTTTATTTCTTTCTCTTGCTTTGGCGCTCTAGGCAAAATTTCAAGTTGTACTTTTTGAATAAGTGTCAAGAGTGGACACTCTCTGGTCTTATTCCTGATTTTAGAGGAAATGCTTTCTGTTTTTCTCCATTAAGTGTAATGTTGGGTCTGGCCCAAAAGACCAAAAATCGTATGTTCTCCCTCATATGTGGACATTAGATCAAGGGCAAACACAACAAGGGGATTGGACTATGAGCACATGATAAAAGCGAGAGCACACAAGGGAGGGGTGAGGATAGGTAAGACACCTAAAAAACTAGCTAGCATTTGTTGCCCTTAACACAGAGAAACTAAAGCAGATACCTTAAAAGCGACTGAGGCTAATAGGAAAAGGGGACCGGAACTAGAGAAAAGGTTAAATCAAAAAGAATTAACCTAGAAGGTAACACACATGCACAGGAAATCAATGTGAGTCAATGCCCTGTATACCTATCCTTATCTCAACCAGCAAAGACCCTTGTTCCTTCCTATTGCTTATAGTCTCTCTACAACAAAATTAGAAATAAGGGCAAAATAGTTTCTGCTGGGTATTGAGGGGGTGGGGGTGAGAGGGAGGGGGCGGAGTGGGTGGTAAGGGAGGGGGTGGGGGCAGGGGGGAGAAATGACCCAAGCCTTGTATGTACATATGAATAATAAAATTAAAAAAAAAGTGTAATGGTTAAGGTTTGCTGTATATAGCCTTTATTATGTTGAGATTTGATCTTTACATATCTATATCTAGTTTCTTCATGGCTTTTGTCATAAAGGGGTGTTGAATTTTGTCAAAGGCTTTTTTTTTTGCATCTATTGAAATAACCATGTGATTTTTAAAAAATCCCTGACTTTATTTACATGTTTATTGATTTGCCCATTTGAGTATTCTTATATTTCTGGAATGAAAACTAACTTGGTCATGTTGTATGATCCTTTTAATATGCTACTGAAATTGGTTTGGAAGCATTTTTATTGAAATTTTTTGCATCTATGTTCATCAAAGATATTGATGTATTACTTTCTTTTTGTGTACTTACCTGGTTTGGTATCAGGGTGACACTGGCTTTGTAGATTTAGATTAGAAACGTTTCTTCTTTAAAGTTCTAGTAGAATTAAGCAGTAAAGCTGTCTGGTCCTGAATTTTTCTTTTTTGGGAGGCTGTATTATTGCTTCAATCTCATTGTTTGTTATTGATGTTTGTTTTTTATATCTTCTTGGTTCAATTTTTGTCAGTCATATATGTCTAGAAATTTATTAATTATAGATTTTATAATTGATTGGAATAGAAGTTTTCAAAACATTTACAATGATTCTCTGGATTTCAGTGGTATCATAATTTTCCCATTTTTAGACTCTAATTTTTATTACACAAATAAAAATTATTAAAAATTAAAAAATTATTTAAAAATTTCTTTTGGTTAGTTTCACCAAGGGTTTGTCAGTCTTGTTTATATTTTCAGAGAACCAACTATTTGCTTCATGGATCCTTTGTATTATTCTTTTCCACTTCATTAACTTCAGCTCTGAACTGTATTGTTTCTTTTTGTCTACTAATTTGGAGTTTGTTTTATTCATGTTTCTAAGTCCTTGAGATGTGTTACTATTTGGGATCATTCTGATTATTTTAATACAGGCACTCATAAACTTTCTTATTTGTACTGGCTTTTTTGTATCCCACATGTTCTGGCAAGTAGTGTTTTCATTTTTATTTGATTCTATGGACTTTGAAATTTCCCACTGATTTCTTCAATAACTCACCAATCATTCAAAAGTATATTCTCCATGTGGTTTGTATTTCTGTAGTTTCATTTCCTGTTGATCTCTAGTTTTATTCCATTATAATATGATAAGATACAAGAATTTTTTTTGCCTTTATGTTTTGCTTTATGGCCTAAAATGTGATCTATTTTGGAAAAATTTCCATAAACTTGTGAGAATAATGTCTATCCCTTCATTATTGGATAGACTACTGTGTAGATGTCCATTATATCCATTTGATCTATGATGCAGTTTGAATTTTTTTAAATCTAGGTTACCAATGACAGTGGCATATTGAAGTCACTCACTATGACTGCATCTGAACCTGTCTGTCCCATATGTCCAGTACTGTTTGTTTTAGAATATGGACACACAGTTTCATTCATTATGGTTATATCTTCTTGAAGTTATCATTCATTTTATTAATACATAATTACCTTTTTTATCTTTCAATTTTGGATTCAAATTTGTTTTGTTGGATATGAGTATAGCTACTCCTGCTTGCTTTTGAATCTTGTCTGCTTGGAGTGGGGAGTGTATTATAGAAGCCTATGAGAACTTGACATAAGCACAGTTGTGCTCAATGATCTACATGCTGAGTTTGGCATGGCCCCAGCCATAGAAGCAGGTGAAGGCAAAATGCAGTACAACTGCTTTTCCTATGTTGTTTATGTTCAGAGAAGTAGGATTGCAGGTTTCTCTTGTTACAATGGCACATCCCTCCCCAAGAACTGTTGCTCCACCTCCTTATTTGCACTATTTATAAAAGACTCGCTGAAGGAGGACACAGAGGTTGGATGGATTGAAGGACTGGGGGATTGGATTGGAGGATTGACTGGTTGGCTGCTTGTGAGGGGTGGAAGCTACTGCTGGGGTGGCTTGTGAGATGCTGTTTGTGTGTCTGCGAGTCTGAGGACCAGACTTTAAAGGGAACATGGGACAGTGCAAGTCTGAGGACCAGACTTTAAAGAATAGAAACGAGGCAAGGTTTTAAAGAACAGTAGAGAAATAAGGCCTTAAAGAATAGAGAAGAAAAGAAGCAAAGTAAAAGAAGAAAATAATAGAGAAAAGAATTAACAGGGCTGTTGTGCGTCTCCATCTGAGCCCCCAGCACACCTGGTCTCACCTTTGCCTTCTATCTTTTGTCCTTTCTGCATCTCCAGTCGCTCCCAGTTAGGCTGGGAGGAACAAGAGCTTGCAAGAGCTTGGAATATCATTTTCCATCTTTTCACTTTCAGTCTCTGTGTGTTTTAGCCAGTGAGGTCTGTTCTTATAGGCAGCAAATAGTTGGATCTTGTTTTTTAATCCATTAGGTCAGTCTGCATCTTTTAACTAAAAATTTTATGTACTAAAAAAAAACTCAACTCCTGTGATCTGGCAGAGAAGTACCCATTTTATTTGCTCAGAGTAGGAATGATCTTAGAAGCCTTTAGTCCATTTATTCATTTCTCATGGAAGATCAAGAGGCTGCAAAGAGTAGTTTTAAACTGAATTCCAAACTAATGGAATCTAAAATAAAAAATATAGATGATTTAGTATTTAAATTGTAATGTCTATAAAACCTGCATCTTATACTACCATGTAAAATTAAATTTCAGAAAACATATGTACTTAAGTTTGACAAATGGAAAGTCTGCTAGGGAAACACTTTGAACTACCTCAAAAAGAATAAGAACAACAACAACAAAACCCTAATGAACAGTATCTAATACCATCAAAGATGTGTATTTCTTTGGGATTCAAAACAAACTACACCCCAGAGCTATCATAACAAGTGACATTATACACAGATGAATGAAGCTTGTTTACTGTATTAAAAAGAATAAGAAGGAACTGAACGTGACATGAAGGTGGCTCCAACGCAGAGTCGGAATCAGAGTTCCAGAGTACTCTTCCTTTCAGCAGAAAACTTAGCTTATGAGAAGTCCTCATAGCCAGAATTAAGAAAATTTAAAGAATTTAAAGAAAGTGAACATTTTACCCAACTTTATTTAGCCAATAAAACTTATGTACCAGGAATGTCTTGGTAATGAATTATTCTTTGTACTAAAATAGGCAGTTTACAAAAACATCCTTTCAAGTCATTAACATGACCCAGTAGGAAGCTAGAAGTTAAAACGATTACTAGCAGAATTTGGATCAAGATACATAAAATTCTTATAACCTTTTTCAACAGAAAAAGTATGCTGTTAGGTCAAGGGTACAGTAGCTGCTTTTGATTCAATGTTATGACATGAAAAAAATGGAAAACCATAAGGGAGATAGCTTCTTAATTTACTAAAAACGTTAGATTATTAAAAGCAAAATTATCTTTGTTTCTGTAAAATGTAGGAAGAAATTAAAACATCAGTGTATTTATTCATTGCCCAAATACAAGTCATAACATTTGTGAAAGGATCCTAGAATCTAACTAGGATCCTCAATACCTAGTTAGAACAAATAATTACTTTCTAGACTAAGCAGTACATTTTCTGAATCTCTTTGAAATATTTAAATTTATACAAAGGAGACCTGAAGAACTTCAAGAGGCAAAGATACAGCAGTCATGAGAAACCAGTCATGTTTGCAAATTCATATGACCCAAAAAAACACTGGTGTCTAAAGTCTGCCAGGTACTTGAGTCAGACAAGTCCAAACTCTCATACAATCAGACTGAGCTTATGGTTTCTTTTATATAAGAACATAAACTATATCTCATTTCAAGAGCACAATGAAAACACAATTTCTGATAAATGAAGACTGTGTCTAACACATAACTTTTGGTAGATAAGACTTAAAAAATATGAAAGGAAAAGAACCCCATTCTTTCTGGAGAGACTGACTTATAAGTAAAAGCTCCAGTTCTGTAACTTATACTTTATGAAATGTTCAGTGCAGCGTGAGATGGGGCTCATTGACTAAAACAAGTCTCCAAAGTCAATGATGCTCTGTGGGACTGTTAACTCTGCAGAATGGCATTTTATTTGACAACAGCATGGACTTCATATATATCCATTATCAGTGCCTTGAAAACCAAAACAACTTTAAAAGTTAGCAGCAGTTTCTGCAAGTACAAAAATACACATTTGTTACATAACATATGGTAATAAAATTTGTCAAGATATACAAACTCAAAGCATTTTTTGATAAAGGATCAGTCCAATATATTATAGCTTAATAGAGTATAATAAAATGACATGTAGTCTGTCTTCAAATCATACAATACTTTACAGCAATATTAACATACTATTCACATTGTCATAGGAGTATCTAAGGGAACACAGAGTGGGAAATGGTTGTTAGAGAACCTTAGCGACTATTTTTTAATATGCTTAAAACTGGGTGGATCATTTTTCTTCCTGCCAATATGAAAGAGAAAGGGTCCAAACAATTTTGGTAAGTAGAGAAGTAATTTCTTTCAGTAAAATACTCCAAGCCATAAGAGCATCATTCACATCTTGCAGTTCTGACAGTAGTATGCCCTAAGGGTAAGGGGAGTCCCTGCTGACTTCACGTGCTATACCACGAAAAATGCACATGGACGCTCAGCAATCTGAACATGGGAGTGGTTGATTATGAGGCAAAAATGACTTCACATCAGACTCAGATGGCCAGTGTAATGAAGGAGCTCTTTGGACACAGTTGTAAAAAATCGTTACAATGATTAGGACATACAGGGCCACGTCCCAGAGAGGTAGGTAGAACCTATAACTAAAAACAAATAACATCTTAGAGAAAACATTTTTTTAAATCCTAAAACCGAACATGCACTCTTGAGGGGAAGGGGAGAACAGCTGGTGTGACAGTTTCCTGACTCATGAGAAAAATAATTTTGAGTAACCAGTGTGTGGGAGAAGAGTTCTTTTGATAGTAGACTAAAGAGATTCACTTGGGCTCTTGACAACTTCTTATAGATGAGCAGTTAAAATGAAGAGGCACATCTAGTTCTCATGCTATCCCTCCATTTTGGTTGGCAAGGCCTGATAATTTGGGTGAGGGGAGATTCTTTTAAGGTAAGAGAAAGGACAAAGGTTATGGATCTAAAACTTAAGGGGTCTAAATTATTTATAAACCATGAGTCATTTGGGACATCAAGATGGAAAAACTTCTGAAAGAAAACCCAAAGACTGTCACTATTTGAGAAGGCCTGTCTGTCACTTTGTTTGGCATTCTGTGATTCCTTATATTGTGTCAACCTATAAACTCATCTATTCCAAGCCTATCAGGATGAGAGAAAGGAAGGTTTAAGAGTCAGTGGCTGTGGTGGGAAGGATCCAGTGGTATCAAAGGATTGGTTCTTGGGATGATCCTGCGAGGACATATGACTAGAAGACACCACAGAAACGGCACTGTAGAAACTGAGAAATTACAGCAATATTGCTACCAACACAGCATTCTGCTGACAAGTTTCCCTGCAGCCTTGCCTCCTAGCTGGGGAGAGTTACTTACAAATCCTCCTTTCTCTACACTAAGATAGTAAATGCAGCCAGAGGGTCGCTTTTTAAATAGGAAAAAGTTGGCATTGAAATGAGCAAACTTTTCCTTCCTTCTACTTGGAGCTGTTTCTTGGAGCCTCTGCAAATCCAATCAACCAATACAACCAATTAAAAATGATGTCATGGCTTCTTGAATCACTCTAGTTCTCCCCACTCTCACTCCATCAATGGGGCTCGTTCAGAGAATGGTCTCGTGAAGACATGGGACTAGAAGATGCCTGAGAAATGGCCCTTCACTTGGATTCAGGGAAAAGCTTTATGTGACTTTCTCTAACTGTGCAAGCTTCTTCCTAATGCTTTCGTTAGCGGTCATTTCTTGCCTACTTATTAAAAACATTCCATGCTAGGTAGAGGGTTTTTCTGTACTGCTCTCCCCACCCAGTAGTCCCTGATTCTTCATTTATGACATCCTGGTGTTCTTAGGACAGTGTCATAGAGTGTTAACATAGACAGACTTCTTCCATAGCAGATGCCTTCTCTAGCCATTTGATTGTATCTCTGAAAGTCTCAGGAAGGAACAGTCTCCAAAATATTACGTGATGAAATATTTTAGCATAAACTTTTTGCCAAGTAATCTCAATACAGAATTCTTTTGTCTTAAATACGAGTAATGATTATCCCAGGTATCTTACAAAAGGGGGTCGTGTAACAATTGTTGACTTTATGTTATTCAGTTCTTATAGATATTAGACTTACTGTGTTAATTGTCTTTGGTTAAATGTCTGTCCCCATCATCACAAACCACTGTAGGGCCTGTGTTTGGGCTGGCCACATCACCCCCAGTCACAGAGCAGGATGAGGTTCTTCCCCAGGGCAGAGGATCAGAAATGCACTGCCCTGCGCCCTCTTCTCCCTCGTTGGGTTTGCTTTCCACCAGGCTGAAAAGAGAACTACAGCATTCTTCTGAGTCCTGGTAGGGATAAAAACTGCACCGTTGGGCTGTCTGTACAGCTCCAAGTTCTTCAGCTGCTCTTAGGGGTGTGTCTTTCTGTCTCTGTTGCAGTAAGCTGGCTTCTGGAATGCCAGAAGCAGGTGGGGGGAATTCTGAAGGTCCTATTTTCTTTTCTTCTGGTCTGGCTGGTTTTGCTTTCTTTTTGAGGGACCAGTTTTTCAAACTGGCCAAACCATTTCTCAACCATGTGCTGGGGTGAAGAGTTACACAGTGCCTGTGTGAATACCACTCTACAGTGTCCTTTCTCATATAAGCCAGATGGCTGCGGGCCTGCCCTGTGGAAGGACCAGGCATTGCAGAAATGAGGCTGGAACTGTCAAAGTCCAAAGAAAGCTCTTCCTGTTTTCTTTGAGTCTGAAAAGTGCAATCTATTGGAGAGGAAGTTTCAGTGGGTGTGAACACAGAGTGTTCAGAAATCTGAGAAAAAGCACTGTCCTGGGAGCTCACTGATGAGCCAGAAGGGGAGGTGCCTGGGGAGGATAAGCTAGAGTAGCTAGTCCTTGGGCAAAGGTTAAGTCTTGGAGGTAAAACCTTCTCAGTGCTTTGGTTTGTGGCACTGCCCTTGCCCACCTCGATCCCCATGACCAAACTCTGATTAATAAGCTTTTGCCCCTCAATTTGCAAAGATTTATGCCGTTTGAGATAATCCTCCTCTCCATGCAGGAGACCACCTTCACAGCTGGTTTTATGTTGCTTCTTTGAATAAATCCCCCTGAGATAGGACAGTTTGCACTTCTGGCCATCTATGTTGGGCTCTGAACAGCGCCGATGTGTCACTGAACTCTTGAGGGCATCTACTGTGTGTGGCGGGGAGTATCCAGATGTATCTGCATCAAAGGGCTGGCTCCTGGAATGACCCTGGGAGGACACAGGACTAAAAGAGGCCACAGAAATGGTCACTGGCTTGGACTCGGTAAAAAGTTTCACATGATTTCCCCTGTTACCAGACAAGGTTTTCTTTTTAATGTTTTGATTAGTGGCATTTTTCCTGCTGATAGCAGTGCCTGTGACCAAACTTGGTTTAAAACATGTCTTATCCCCTTCCTTGAGGGGTTGATTCTGCTTCAGATAGTCTTCATCCTTTTGAGAAAGGACTGCATCACAGCTGGACTTGCGAATCTTTTTCTGGTAAAACTCCCTGAGATGGGAAAGCTTTGAATCTAGATAGTGGATGGTGGGCTCTGAACAGCGCCGGTGTTGCCGCAGGTGTCTTGGAGCATCTGCTGCACCTGTGGACAGGTAGGTGGGTGTACACGAGCCCGATGGGGCCCTGGCATGCTCCCCCAGTGAAACCTTCAACAGCTTGGACTCAACAGGCTGCTTCATTTGAATGACTTCATCTTTAGTGTGCTCTAAGTCAAAATCGTTCAGGGTTAAAAGGCCTTCCACCTCAGGCTGGTCGAGGTCATAGTCACTAAGGGTTAAGACAGAGTCCATGCTTCTGCTACCCTGGACAAGTTTCTTTACCAAGTCACTGCATGGAGCATCAACATCCTCGTTTAGCTCATTTTCCAAGCTGTCATAGGAGGAGTCATTCATTTGGAAGCAAGACACATCTGTCAAGAAAATCAAACATGAGTAACATTTTACTTACCACAAATACAGTGCATGTTGCCTTCAAACAAACTGTACATAGTTCAATGTTCTTTTCATGTAGAATGTTCAAATTTCTACTCTAAAGAAGGAAAGAATCTTCCAGAGACTTCCCAACTGTTACTGCAGAAGAAAAACCTGCTGGGGTATGCTAAATTTATCTGAGTTACTATTGAAATGGGCTTTCCTTAGGTAAGATTTTTCTCAAAACAATGAAGATGTCATGAGATCAAGAGGTGATAAAAATACATGAATGAATGAACGTCAGGTATACCTAGACTGTGACTAAGACTGGCTACCAACGTGCATTGTACCACTGCTGATTATACATACCTAACTCTAGTCTTGGTGAAACCATTTCTAACCTAATCAATTTAAAGCTCTCTGAAAGTTAAGTTCATTATTTAATATTTACAACAAGAAAATTGGAATTTGTTGTTTACATTTCATAGATAAGATATTGATGCTCAGTAGCATAACACAATTGTAATTATTGAAGGATGTCATAATTGGAATGGGTATATAGGGATTCATATTTTAGGGGTTATATGTCTGCTAGTTGTTTTCAAACATTCTGAGGAGTCTTGGGGTCTACTAGGAGGAAGAGGAAGAAAATACCCCTACTGCTTCTGGGTCTTCTACTCTAATATCAGCCACGGCAGTTCTATTATACAGAAAGGTTCAAACCATAGCATAGTCTACTGAAAACTTCATCTTACATACTTAACACACTCTGATCTATTATAGCCTTCTAAGGAAGAAACGACAGCCCCACTGAACCAGATCAGAGGTTCCCTTCACCTCTGCTCCTGTGGGCTCTAGGATGGCATAGTCCCAGCATGGTCACACATCTATCCAACACACTTCCCCACAATACCTGAGGCCTTTTCTCCAGTGTCACAGTTCACTGAAACCTCTCCCAAAAGGGAAGTGATTTCTTCTCCAAATATCCTACAAGAATTTTCAATCAGAAATTGTATAAGCAGGGAAACCTGTATTAAAAAAAGAACAAAATTAAAGTGATACTTTATAAAAGTACATAATAGTTTCCCTTTAAAACTATGATATGTTCAAGAGGAGTTTGGGCACAGAAATTTATTTGTGGCACTGGCTTAATGCTAACTCCCCCCTCTCTATTTCTTGGCAGCATTGGGGTTTGAACTCAGGGCCTCACACTTGATAGGCAGGCACTCATGCTGACTTGCTGAACCACTCCACCAACCCAATGCTAACACTTTGTACCAATGGCTCTGTCCTTAAAATTTGTGTAATTTACAAGGTATCAATAATAAAGACTCAAGGCGCTTTTATGTGTGTGTGTTTGTAAAGGGCAGGTTGACACAAGTTTAGGAAGTGGGTTCCTCCATGGGTGTGTTATGAAGGAGGGAGACAGCTTGAAAGAAAGCTTGTGTTTTTCATGGCCAGTCTCTACCTGTGCATTGCCTTTTATTCTTTCTAACCAGATGTTCTTGGGGAGAAAAGGGATGAGTTTATTAAGAAGTGTTGTGCTTCCACTGAGATGTACTAAAACCTATCTTTAGTTTCTTTGTCCCAGTAGCTGAGGCCAAGGGGCAGGAGAAATACTGGAAGCAAAGGGAACTGCTATCTCTAAACCCCTTATTAATAGCCAGGTACTGTAGGGATGTGACTTCAAAAACTACTATATCATTAGCACCTCTATTTTTTCAGCTAAGGACACTGAATCATTGTAATTAACTTCACCCCAGGTTGTACATGTGGCAAGTGGTAGAGCTAAGAATTGAACTACGCTGTTTAACTTCAAAGCTAAAGTTTAACCTACTTAAAAGGAAAAGAGAAAGAAATCAAGAGCTATCTATCACTTTTCTCCCTAAGGTATCAACTTCCACTAGTCTACCAGAGTAGACTAGTAGACTACTTCCACTACTCTACAGTTAGTAAAGTCAAATTTATAGAGTTGTACTTAAGCTATTTAAGAAATTGTCTTTTTAGCTGGAAGGGGAAAAGGGAGGGTTAAGAGGTCTGAAGTATATTACATTTATTTAGAAGTTACCATAATGAAAACCACCAAATTCTGTTTGAAAAGGGGAGGGACTGACGAAATATAAGAGGGGAGACCTTGTTCAAAGAACATATACATCTATAGAATTATCACAATGACCCCCTCCTGAAGGTAGGCTAGTACAACAACTATGGAAAACAATATGGAGGCTTCTTAAAAAACTAAACATAGATCTGCCATATGATCTAGCAATCCCACTCCTAGGGATCTACCTGAAGGAATGTGACTCTTGTTACTACAAATGTATGGCACACCATGTTTATTGTAGCACTATTCACAACAGCCAAGTATGGAACCAGCCAAAATGCCCCACTACCAATGAATGGATTAAGAAAATACGTTTATACACAATGAAATTTTATTGAGCCACAAAGAAGAATGAAATTTTGTCATTCGCAGGAAAATGGATGGAACTAGAGAACATCATCTTAAGTGAAGTTAGCCAGGCTCAGAAGGCCAAAAAATCACATCTTCTCCCTCATATGTGGGATTATAGACCTAAAACAAATGCAGTAATATTATTGGACACGGGTCACATGCTAAGGGGAGAATACACACGGGAGGAACAAGGAAAGGAAAGGGAACCTAAAACTTGAATGTGGTTGATGTGCTCACTGTGTAGGAGCAAATAAAGTAATCTTAAACTGGCAGAGGCCACCATGGGAAGGGGACCAGGAAGTAGCGAAGGGGTCTGGTAGAGATGAACCAATTCTGGATGTAATACACAAGTGCAAGGAAGCTAGGACGCTCTCTATATAGCTATCTTCATCTCAAACTAGCAAAATGCCATGTTTCTCTTTTTACATTATATATTTTTCTTCAAACAAAACTGGAGAACAAGAGGGTGGAACAGGTTCTGCCGGAAGTGGGGGGGTAGGGTGGTGGTGGTGGATGTGGCCAAAATAATGTATACACATGTAAGTAAATGTGAAAATGATAAAAGAAAAAAATGACCCCCTCCCCATTAATGTACCCTAATAAAAATAGTAAACACTGTCTTTCAGAATACCATGAATTTGTTTCAAAATGGGGACTGAGTCCCCCAGGGCACAAAACCAAAAAATTTCATTACCTTTTTTGTAAATTCATTTTCTAGTTCTGGGCTAGAAGAAGTAGGAGGCCAAAGAATGCTTGGAGCAATACACACAGCTAAATTAAATGCATTCATCTGATTGGATGAACAGTCTTGTTCAATATTGTGTAATATTCCAAAGAGATACCTTAGGAAAACAACATTGGCTTTCGGAAGCTGGTCCAATAGCCTGAAGACATAAAAAAATGCAATCTTTAAGCAAGGCAATCAACAAAAAAATGTGTAAAGACACACACACCCCTTACCTTGCATGCAGGACCCTGCAAGTCAAGAGCAGTTCAGATACACAAGTTTTAGCTCATGTATTATACACACTTTCATGAGTACTACTCCTACAGAAAGAAAATAAACACTTTGTACATTGTCTTCATAAGTCAATGACAATGCAAAAGAATGTATAAAATGTCATATAAAAATGTTGCCTGGGGTATTTCTCTGAAACTAGCAAATCCTGTAACATTTCAGAATATTCTCAAACAAAACCCACAAAAAGCTTTCTGATAAAAAGTGTTACTTTGTTTCAAGTAGCAACACGGGATGCCCTGTCTTGGTGAGTACCCATTAAGGCTCCCAGGTCCTGTGCTCTGCTGTACCAGCTTCCAAGGTCAAATCTGTTCCAAATCTGTCTCATGGTATCACTTTCATGTATAAAGCTTATCATAGTATACACCACTGTTCCCATTTTATAACTGATAAGGATTTTTGTTTTTGCAGTTCTGGGGCTTGGACTCAGGGTCTACACCTTGAGCCACTCCACCACCCCTTTCTGTGTTACATATTTTTGAGACAGAGTTTCTCAAACTGTTTTCCCAGGCTGACTCTGAACCTTGATCCTCCTGATCTCTGCTTCCTGAACAGCTAGGATTACAGGCATGAGCCACTGGTGCCCAGCTTGATAAAGATTTTTCAATGATAATTCACCAAAAATGAATTTTTACTTCCATCCAGAAAACATACACACACATATCCCGTATATATATTAGATATTCATGACTATTGGTTGTTCTCCTACAAGAACCTGCAACCTTAGGAAAATAAGATGATTTGACCCATGTTGAACACATAACAGAGGCCTATTTTTGAACACAATGGACTGAAAATGACTACAGTTGATAGGGATAAGTTATAAAAGATTCTGAAATAGACCAAAAGATTGTTGCGTGTATTCAGTGCAAAATAAAGCATCTAGCATGTGCTTTCAAGTTGTAGATAACTGATAGTAATATACCTAAGACTCATCTATAGCATTCTGCCTGGTGGAAGGACAACTGATTGATCTGCAACCCTGCCCTGCTAAAAGAAGGCAGTTTTGTACCCACGTTTAAATTTATGTCAGCATTTCTTAATTTTTTTGGTGGGACTGTGATTTGAACTTACAGCTTTGCATTTGCAAAGCAGGGACTCTACTGGTTGAGTTATACCTCCAGTCATTTTGGAAATGGGGTCTCACAAACTATTTGCCTGAGTTGGCCTTGACCTGTGATCCCATCTTAGCCTCCCAAGTAGCTAGGATTACAGGTGTAAGCCACTGGTTCCTGGCTTCATGCCAACACTTCTGATTTCATTGTTAAATTATGGTGCTTTGAAATCTCCTTTGAACAGACTATAACATCGGACTGGCTCCTCCATTAATTAATGACTTAAAAAAAAGGTTTATTTGCATGAGTATCACCATTTTGTATTTTTTAAAAGCATCCCCTAAATACCTTCTAGGATATATTTTGGACAATGAGAAACAAAGTATAGAATTGGATGCTGACTATTTCTGAATACTTTATACCTAACTAGAATGGAAAGTTTACTATTTTGTTAAAGGCCTTTGATATCTATGTCTTCAACAATTGTACAATGTTATACTGATAAAAGATGTCTACCAATAGCAATTTACAGATTTGATTTGAAAGCTGCTCTAGGAGAAAAGTAACTCAGCACAAGCAAATGATACTGAGACTCAAGAGTTTCACAGAACTGGAGTATTGCTTTTTGTTAATACACACTTACAATGCAGGAAATATCCTGGAATGAAGGACAGTGACTTCTAACAGCCATCTCCCTGTGATGAGTACAGACATTGCATTCTTTCGGATCATACTGAACCTTTGCAACTCCCCCTTTCCATGTCACTTTTCAAGTAGTCAACTGCCTCTGCTGTGCTCCCACAGCGTCCTCCAGATGTCTTTTATAACACTGATTATTCTGCATTGCAGTTGTCAATTTACCTATCTATAAGACTTCCTAGAGAGGAGGGAACAGGTAATTTTCTCTGCATGACTTCTGTCACTGAATGAAACATATACGTTGTCTACTTAAATATTTCACAGATTAGGATTCAGTATTAGCTAGTGGGCCAGTGGATTTCAGCTCCTATCAGATAAAAATATACAGAATGTATACAACTTAAATATTTCATATTAAGAAGATTAGGGACAAAACCAGCAGCAAACCTGTAATAAACAAGCATATAAAACGTAAGGATTTTAAAAGTATTTTTGAGATAGAATAAATACCTTTGAATTGTATTAATTTTCTCTTCATCATTTCCTTGATCCATTACACAGACCCAGTGACCATAGAGATCTGATGAAAAAATACTTCCTGGAATATTTCTCAGAAAATCCTTGCATAGATGAAAAAGCAAATATTTAAAGCCATTATTCTCATGAGAAAACATTTTTGTAAACAGAGCTCTGTAATCACTTGCACACAGAAACATATGCATTGATTTTTTTTTTCTAACAAGTCTTTGAGATAATGTCAGGATTGTGGTGGAAATAAAACAAAGGGCAACCTATTTGGGCTGAATTTTCTGTTTGTATACATTTTATCAAACTAGTACAACAAAGATCTGAAAGTACACCATCCTAAGTTCTCCACTCCGACTTTTACTTAAATAGCTAGTTCAAGGAAATGCCCACAAAGGTCTCTGTGAAGTCCACAATCTGGTAATCATTCAACCATTCTATGTGTATTTATTCATATGCACCAGGTTCTGTTTGATGTCTTTGATACAGAGAAGTGACAGAAACAAAGTCTCCGTGATCCTACAACGTTATATTCCACTGATACTGGTGCCTATGTGCATCAAGGTATAATGGGGTTTTCCTTCCAGTATTCCCCTTAGAAGGCCCTCAGATTCCAGAGAAGAAAGCATTCTAGGTGACGACTGGGCTCCTCACTGAGTAGAGCAGTGAGGAAGAAAATCACATAGCCGTGGTTAGTTAACTAAGTTACCACAGCTTACATATTAGTAATAAACATGATGTGTAAATAACTAAACAACATGTCTACAATATTTTACTCTTCCCTGGAGAGACCCTGTTCTGCTGAGATGACTGATGGGTCTGGGTGTAGTAAAATGAGACTGTGACACAGCCCCAGTCAACTATAATTCAGATGCTAAGACAATTTTTAGAATTTCTTTGTAGTCATGTCACTATCACTATGCTGTTTTTTTCTTTTTTGAGTAGTTAATAAGAAAGATGGACTGACTCAAACTCCTCCTCTGTTTTATATTTTCAAGTAGACATGCACCATCATAAGATAGTGGTGATTCAGATGTATCATTGCAAAAGTTACCTCTTTTGGGGTAAAGCTATTGACATTTTTCATAATTCCAAGCTAATTTTAGCTGCTTCTGCCCACTTTAAAAGTCAGATTTAAAAGGGGAAAAATCTGTTATTTCAAACTATATAGCAATAACTGCTATTTTAAATCTCAGTGGAACATACACTATGATCCATCTTGAAGAAAAATATCATTGGATCTTAATCTTACACTTGAAAGATAATAACTCATAAGATCCCAACAAACTCTCTCACAGCTGGAATACAACCACTGCCACAGTGGAGAAGGGCACTAGAGCTGGTTCTGAATTACAATTATGAACTTGTAGCATCAACTGAAATTCTCTACCCCTTCAAAACCAGAGCCTAGGTCACCAGAACTCTACAGTTCATTTAAGATGAGATTCTGTAGATTAAATATGAACTTTTTCTCAAAAGTCTGAGGAATCAAAGTTATAGTGTCTCAAGCCATTTTTGTCCAATTATAGTTTGAAGAGTTATAATTTAAGCAAAACCAGGTAAGTGAAAAATTAAAGGAAAACTTAAATACTACTTCAAAATAGTTTTACAAAGACAAACTCCAGCTTAGGGCAAAAATTGTCTTTTTTCCTGAAACCACTGAATAAACACAGTTACATGATGCCAACATTTCAGTTATGTGTTAGTCATTCAACAAGACTTTTCAAGTCTTTTGCTTGTCTTTGGACAAATAATATTCCTGTAATCTGAAAGACACCATGCTTCTCTGTAATAGCTTGTGTGGTGCCATGAAGAATAGCTTAGCAAAGAGGTTTTTCTAAAATGCAGGTTTTACCTTTCTAAATTAAATGTGGGAAATTCCAATTGTATGAAAAAATTATGATGCATGTTTATCTCTGGCATATGTCCCTAGCTAAGCTTACCATGTATATCTTTATCCCAGGATTGAAGAGAAGTCAAAACCCTGCACAATGATTACATGACCAGCTAGCTCAAGCTCTCCAGTTCGCTTGAATGATATAGATATATTTTCAAAAGTCTACAGCAGGGTTTAAAAGGAGACCATAGCCCCTTTACCAAGCAACACCTGATTTTTCATAGAATCATGAAGTTTGTTCTATAATCAGCTGGCCACTCAGCTGGAGTAGGAGTATGCAAGTCTTCGTCATGTTTTCCTTAATTAGGTTTTTATGCCTCAGGCCCTGGGATGGAGGCTGGGACCTTCTCTACCTCTGACTCCAGTGCATTGCAACCCTTCAGGAGATGGGAGGCTGAGGCAGAAACGATTGCTGCGGTCAGAAGCTCTATGTAGAGGTGGGTTTGACCTGAGGTTTTCCAAAAAGGTAGATGTATTCAAGAATGTGGGAAGAAAGTATTTTAGAACTTTGCAACCATAGATAGGACTTAAGGAAACATGGGTGAAGGGTAAGAACCACATGTGGTAAAGGCAAAAGGCAGCCCAGATGCTGGAGTCATTCCTACTTCTCCTTTTAAGGTAGGTGTTAGGAGACTAGGAGGAGGAGTATTTGTGGGCTTCACTATGGAAATGAATGGAATTTTCAGTGGTGTCAACGACTTTTTCAGTTGCAAGGTAAATGTTTGTTATGGTAAACTTACGTAACTGTCTTAAAAGCCTAATAAAAGTGTATTTTTGAAAACATCATCTTCATTAGGAAAGCAGTCAGATAGCAAGGAAATGTTTTGACAAACATGCTGTGTGTGTTTTGACTATTTTAAATTTTAATTAAATTTTGCTTTTGTTAATGGGGTGGCAGAAGTGATGAGAGTACTGTGGGAGGGAAAGTTAAAACGTATCTGACATGTCACTTCATGGCAGTGGCTTTTTGTTTGTTTGAGACAGAGTTTCTCTATGTAGCCCAAGTAGGCTTTGAACTCACAATCCTCTTATCTCAGTCTCCCAAGTGCTGAGATTACGGAAGTGTACCACCATACCTGATTGGCAGTACTTGTTAAAATTCAATGTTGTCTGTATGAAATTATTTTTAAAACACTTTCTAGATTCTAAATCTATCATGGGATTTTGCAGATAGGAATAATATTCATAATTAAAACCAGAGCTACATAATGGTATATATGAAAAATGGACTCTTCCTACCTTTAAGACAGATGCTATCACAAAAATGGATTCGCACTCTAGGTTTACTTTGATTCCAGAATTCAGTTTCTCCTTTAGCTCTCTGCAAGATTTCACATTAGCTGACTGTCTGAAGATACCTTTTGTGAGTGGGCCTTTTTGGTTAAGAAAGTAAAGTATATCCTATAAGGAAGCAAAGGAGAAAAATCCATAATGGTACTTGACACATACTAACAAGAGAAGAATCTGGCCTTCTGTGGCTTCCAAAGGTCAGGGTGAAAGCACTGAAGGTCTGGAGCTGTATGGATGGCTAAAAGGATTCAAGTAAATTTTTTTTGTTTTTAGAGGACAGAGTGGTCCTTACCAGGGACTGGAGAGATAATGGTTAGTGAAAGGATACAAAATTTCAGTAAGGAACAATGAGTTCAGGCATTTATTGTATAAAGTGGTGACTACAGTAATGACAATGTATTATAGTCTTGAAAATTGCTCAGAGTAGATTTTGAGTGTTCTAATTTTTCTTTCTATATGTCCTCTATTTGCAGTGTAGAAAAGAGAATGGGCTCTGGAAATAAGCAATCCATGAGTTTTGAAAGCCAGTTATACCAACCGTATAATCTTGGGTAAGGTTCTGAGGCTTTTTAAAAAAATATTTGGAAAGTAAGTTACTTCCGAAATTTGATGTGAAGAATAAACAAAGTGGCTATAGTAGTTCTTGGCATTTACAGATGCACAGCATAGTCTAAAATGTCATACTCCAAGTACGGTGCTTGCAGGACAGTGGGTGCTCAGCAAATGTTGCTTAATAGTGATTATCTAGAATACCAACTGCATATGCTATATGCAAAAGACAGCTAAGTGCCACAGAGTTTATCTTGCGGGTTAAAACACTTGAGATACAAATAAAGCAGTTTTTAAAACTTTTAAAAGCTCAAGATAGTCTTTCAGAACAATGTAGAATTCTGAGGGATTTGTGAAAGGATTTGTGAGGGATGATGTAGACTCTCCATTTACAGAGGGAATTCTAATTTATCTGAGTAGGCTTAGAAGTTTATTTTTTGAAGTAAGAAAAAGGATTCTTAGCCAAAGCCAGGGGTGTTTCTAGAGTTTCATTTGGGGATACACATTTACTTCCCCGAGTCTGTTACTTCCCAAACTTCTGTTCCCATTAGTTGGCAGGCCAAAATGAGACTTACCAAGATAGGTTTTGGCAGATTGTCATTCTCACAAATATCTGGTAGAGAGATTCCAAAGAGCTGTCCTGGCACAGGAGATGTTGGTGACACAGGCAAGCTGTCCAGGTGAATGCTGGAACCCCGCCAAAAGGGCCAGTTTATGATAGATCTTCGTCTTCTACATGTCTTCTGACCTGAATCTAAGAAAAATGAGATAATTAGGGAAAGTAGGTTATTTCACTCATTTCTATAATTTCCATTTTATAGTGTGTTTGTTACAATGGCTCAAAGAAAGAAAATGCTTACAGAAGCTCATTGTTACTAAGGAAACATGAAATTCCACTATATTTTATATATTGAAGAATCAAATGTTTGGGTTCTTCTTCCATCCATTTTTTGGGATATCACTTTGGTACTAAATTCAAAAAGTGCTTCATACCAACACACATTTTCCCATTTTCTTAAAAGATAAACCAGGCATACAAAAAAGCTGAAGACTTCATTAGATCACAAATAGTGAGGAGGAGATCAAGATGAAAGACAGGGAGAAAAGGGGTTTTCTCTATTCAGCTGTTATCTAGAAACAACGAAGAATGCTTTTACCTCATGTCTCTACTACTGAAACCAGAGATAATGTCCTGCATTTCCCCCCTTTCTTTGCATCTTCAAAAAGTAGGTTTAAGGCAGCATGACTAGATGCAAATGTGTGTGAGATCTATAAGTTCACCAGGGTGAGGATGGAGCAACACATTCTGGAGAGAAATAGAGACAGAGGTAGCCATAGCAGCTGGAAAATGAAGGGGGAAGGGAGGATGCTAGAAAAGTGAAAACCTGATAATGGGAACCTCAAATATTGTAGGTAAGTTATGTCCCTTTCTGTGGCTGACACCTGAAGCAGGCATTCATAGGACAGATTCAAAACAGTTTGCAATTAAGAGAACTGAGATTTTAAGAGCTATCACACACCGATAGCACCCACTCATGCATGGGAATTGGTCACTAAACTGTGTGGCATTGTTTCTTACGTCACCCAGCCAAGCTACACAGAAAGGTGCCTAGCTCTTCAACATCTGCTGATAATGGAACACTGAAGGAGATGGTCCAAGGAGGACAACGGTCAGCAGTGTCAAATACCAATTTCAAAGAAGTCTTTTACATTGTTTGGCTGTACAGTAACTCAGTATTTTATTTCTTCAGAATAACTTACTTAAACCAAATATGAAATAAGCCAAGTGGTGGGATAATAAGGAAATATGCAACATTTTACAAAATGTCTGTAAGACCATCACTCATGCTTCTCTTCCTTAGGATACAGTAACTACTATCAGAGTACACACACTCAGGTATGTAATGCTCTTTGGAGTTAGGAGATTTGTTTGGCTGCTTATTCAGACACTCTTTTGGAATTATCCTCTTCCCTCAACTTTAAAATGAAAAGGATTTTACCTATCTCTCCAATACTTAGAAGATTATGTAGGCTAATGTGTAAACTCCTCTGCCCAGGGCATGGGTCACAGAGCTTAAAGCTGCCATGATCCCAATCTCCTCCCCACAAAGATGACCTCCTCTCTGCACGCACTCTCCAATGGCTTAACAGCCTACAGGAGGTAGGGGCACATGAGAGAATGCTATTATTCTGCTCAACTAAAGCACTTTCTTCCTGCCCCAACATTTTCAGCTTTCACCAAAACAGAGCAAAAGCAGAAAATGAAACTAAATTCTGTCTTAAATCCAGTTAGGAGTTCCTTCATGTCTAGCAAGCTGTGCACATTTTTGCTTACTATGTATGTTAATGTATACATTGTACTCAGTCTTGGTTATGTATATTGGACCTCATTTTATTTCTAAAACCATCATATTTGTTTTTTAGCTTTTACAGAGTTAAGAATGCAGTATTAACAAGTTATATAACCAGCCATCTTACGAATGTAGATAAGAGGATAAAACAGAAATTAAGTTGTTTACTTGATCTTAAATCTTTCAGTGGTAGTCAGGCCTTTTATTGTATGCAACATTCAGTTTGAGAGTTTAGGCTCCCTCTCAGACTGAGAAAAGACTTCATTAAAGTTTACTTTCTTGCAGTCCTTTTAATGCATGTCAAAGTCTGATGAAAAAACATGCTATTGCCATAAACAACATATGGGTGATTGATAGAAATGTAAAGCAAACTAAACTCACACAGTTTTCCTAAATAAGACTGACAAGATTTAGGCCAAGTGTTTCATGCTTAAATTTTAAAACTGAATATTAAAAATTGTAATTTGCAAAACTTCATGGTTAGAGAATAATAATCATAACAACAAAAAGCTTTAGTTAGAAATTCTATCCTGGCCATATAAACTCCCCAAATTAAGATACCAGGTTTTTTTTTTCCCCCCAGAGCAGAAAATACAAATGAAGAACATACAGGAACAATAGGGCAAAAAGGTAGCAAATAAAAGACATATGCCGTGAAAGCTCGGTTCAATTTCAATTTAGCTCTGGGTCTGAAGTTGATATGGAAACTGAGCCTATTGTAGGCAGAGAACTGAGAGTTCAGTTAGGGCTAGAACCCAGAGAGCTACTTCAGAACACACCCAGGTTCCACTTGCCTCCAAAACCATTTCACGCAGGTTTTCCACACTAGGTGTAACTAAGCCATTTAACCTTTTATTTAACCTCTACTGGATTAAGCCCTAGGGTGAGTTTTCAGGCTTTGAAATGAATGTAGATAAAGTGCTCTGGGACACAGAGAAGGGGCGACTGCCTGCCAGAAGGAACAAAGGTTTCCCAGGGTTGGGACTTGAGATCAGATATTGGAAAGTCTTACAACCCCCTATTTACACTGCAGCCAAACACACCAAGGGTGGTTTCAGCAATCCAAGTCTCAGAGTTGACCTTCTGAAAGGTCCATTGCTACTCCTCTGGCTTCAGTTTAAGACTATTTATAGGTCTTCTCAGTGAGGCAGAAAACTAAAACAGATGGGGGACAGCTATGCTCACCTATGTCAGTTAACAGGCATATTTCCCTTAAGCTAACTAGCACAAGCCTCTCTTAGAAATGAAGATATGGAATTTTGTCTAATTGTGGCTTAATAATTCTCAGCCAATACGCTAATAGGAATTGTCTTCCTTTTTTTATCCAGAACAAGATACTGTTTTCCACATAGGAGACCACACACAAAGTATCTATTTCTTAGTACTAAACAATTTAAGATTGAGCTCTGTGGATTTTAAAGATAAAAAACACAGACTGAGATTGACTGTGAATATAACAAGAGGTACTTTATAAATATGGCCAAGTTTACATGATTGTAGTATGTGCTGAAAAAGAAGCATTTGCTCATATTTCCATTTTAGAAGTCAGTTTACTAGACTAATAGGTGTGTGAACAAGGGTAGGGAGTGAAAATGAAGAAAGTCTTATTGTTAAATTCATTTCCTCCAAAGGGGGGTCTCCTTTTTAATTTATGTTAGTGATGAGTTTAGGCACACAGTGGGAAAGGAGGTAACAAAAGCAGCTCCTTTAAAGTACATTAAACTTCATCAAATTTGGATAATCACATATTTTGTGTGTCAATGGGAGTACTGAAAACAATGTACACATTGGCTTTATATTAAAAGTAACATCAAGACAGTACCAGAAGGAGAGGGTAAGGGAAAGTCACTATTTAAAGTGGTCTATTTCATGAACAGAGTTAGTGTTAACAAGCCCACACAATGAGCAGCTTGGTCTGGGGAGAAGAGCAACAATTCAAGTACCAAAGACCTATGGGAAGTGTCGCTCTGGTATTACATGCTTTGTATTGCTGGAAAAAGTCTGAGTCATCTGTAAAATGAGTATAAACCTTTGGTAATTGTTTTGTAGCTTAAAACAAAGTATTATATAAACTGCTAATTTCCATGTAGAAACGACTTAACATTTAGGGAGAGAATCCTCAGGGCCAATAATTTCATTTGTAGAATTTCTAGACTCTACCATTCTTTAGTCTTTCTAGATGCCTTTTGGTTTTTGCACTTGGAATGAAAACACTCCAAAAGATATAAAGGCATGATGACAAGTCAAATGATATGAATGTGTGACGCTCTGTTTTAAAAGTCTGGTAGAATACTCAGACTTCAGCGGGTATACTTTTGACTAAATGTAAATTTCAATTATCTAAATCAGTGGACAGCAAACCATACTCTTTGGGCTAATTTTGTCATTTCTCCTTGGATAGCCTTTGAGCTAAGAATGATTTTTACATTTTAAAAAAGATTGAAAAAAATAAGACTGTTGAGTGATGTATACAAATTGAATTCTGGTTTTATTGTCCGTAATCGTTCTACTGAAATACAACCCCAACTCATTTGTTCACACTCCATTGTTGAGGACTCAGGGTAATCCGTGATGCTCTCATTGCTTTGCCTGGTAGCTCAGGGCACAACAAATTTCAGTAACTCCATGATATATCAATAGTGTATACAATTATATCAATAAAAATTCTATGGAAATTAGTTTTATTTAATATCCTCACTATGCTACATGGATTGGATCACATACAGATTCAGAATTTCACTGGCAATCCTTTGTGTTGACTTAAGTTTTACTATCAGGATCTTTACAATGATTTCCAACCTTCTGTATTTAGGTTAGATCTTGACACCAGTGAGCTAAAGTTACTCCATCCCTTGCCCCATTTACCATGCAGCATCTAAAGTTGGAACCACTAATTTAAGTAGAGGATGCTTAAAATTTTACTGAGTGAATTAATGGCAAAATATCTCAGGATTCCTGATCCCTGATTAGTCAACTTAACTAAAAAAAACTGATAAAGGAAATAGTTTTTAAAAAACACGAGTATAAAGGTAGAATAGCCAGGGAATATTCTCACTTTAAAGATTCTCTTTGTATCTTTAATGAGGTAACAATAGGCATCAATTAATTTGATCATTCAACAAATATTTATGGAGTAATTATTTGAACTGTTCTAGGTGCTGGAATAAACACACCAAAATCTCTGTATTCTTATTTTAGTGGATGGAAATTCATGCTATCACTACAGCATTCCCTCAATGGTCCAAGTATGCAAACAAACAACCTTAGACTCCAAAACTCAATTTACCATTATAGGAGAGAAAATGATGACTGGTGCAAATGTAAGGTTAATTTGTACAGCTGGTGTTGGCAAGATGAGGGGATCCCACGTGATAGCTGATCTATGATGACTTCAGTGAAGTATAAAGTTGGAGGCTATGTTATCAACAGTCAGAAGGTTGATTGTGCATGTGTGGGAATGTGCACAAAACAGTATACAGTACTCATTGGAGGTTGACCATTGGTGATACTAAACTTTTCTCTTGCTGTATTATTTCCCCTAACAGTGCATCCAAAGATAGGATTTTATTAGGTATATGGGAAAGCTGGAAGAAGCATCAAAAAAGTTGAAGTCATTTGCAAGAAGGAGATGTCATGGTAACCATGGAATTCAAGTTGGATATGGAGGGAAGGAGACACAGGATAGGGCTTTGGATGGAGAAAGTGGTAGAGATCGGCAGGAATCTGGGCTTCTAGAAAGGAAAAACATACTCATGGCTGTTTTGAAGAGGAGAGAGGACAGCTGCAACTCTTTTGCCCCCCTCAAAAAGTCAAAATCTTGAATCCATGGAGTAAAGAGCCAAGTAAATGTCAAACTGACATCACAATTATTTCAAAACTATAATGTTTTAGTACAGAAATAAAAATATAAGCTAAATAATTCTGAATGCACTAGAAGAGATTTTTGTCTAAAAGGATTTTATACTAACAAGAAAAACTTTTGTCAGTTTCTCTAAGTTTGGACAGCTTACACACACACAAATTTTTCTTAGTCTTTTCATCATTGCTGTATCAATTGGATCACACAGATGAAGAGTGTCTTCTGGCCTTCAGATGCTGACCATAATCTGTCAGGTAGCAGGGAAGTGGCCTCAATGATCTCTCAAGACCCATGCCTGCCTTTAAATTTTAGCCCGAGTTTGCTCATTTGCAAAAGGTTATGCTGCTGTTCACTGAGTCCCCTACTTGGGTGAGACTGACAAAGGCAGATGGGAAGTTTGGTATCAATTTTCTGTTTCTCATACAGAGAGCTTATAGCTTGAGTAAAGACAAATTATGAACACTACTGCTACTGTTCTGGAGTCTTCACTATGGAGTAAGAGCCAGCCACGTTCACAGGAATTCCAGATTAGATTAGCAGGCTAATCACATACTTATCAGTACCAGGATCCAGGCAGTGCATCACAGACTTCTGACACCCATCACTGACAGCTCCTCTTTTTCATAATACGACAATTTAGGGGGAGCACATGGTAGAGTGTATCACAGTACAAAGAGGTATTGAAGCATCTGTGGCATGGCCTGAGACTTTGACTTTGCAGCAGGCAGAGGTTATAGGGGAAAGAGAGGTAAAGAAGGAAGAGGCTACTGGCTACAAGTTAGTGATGCCTCTTGCTGATTTGTAAGACCATCTTCGAAAACTTCATCTTTCCTTTAAAAAACTATAGCAAATTCAAAAGGAAAGAAACCAACCTTATCTAGGTAGGAGTTTAGCTCCTTGCCTTTGTTCTAAATCTGTGTCCAGAAATGAAAACTTTTGCTAAAAGGAGGCCCTGTGAAGGAGGGAACCACTCACCACTTGGTTGCTGGGCTACCGCCAGATGGCTGGGCTTCAGGATGAACTGGCATTGCATCTCACGGGGCAGCTGTTCCATGAGGAAGGCTGGAGGGCTAGTAGAGTCCTTGGGTCCCTGGGTCAGGAGAGCAGTGTCTCGTAGGTGGCTCATCTTAATTCCGTAGGGATATTCATGCCCTACAAAGGGAAAAGTATAAATGTAGACTCCAGGGTGACGATATAAAGAATCCTATTGTTGACTGAAAAACCAACTTGTACACTCAGACAACCACATAATACAGGTGGTGGGGGGGAGGGGTAAAGGGAAGGAGAAAAATATCTTTAAAAATTTTTAATTTTTATTATATTATTGTTGTACTCGGGGGTACACTGTGACATTTGCAAAAGTGCTGACAATATATCTTACTTAAATTCACCACCTCCATCATTCTCTTTTATCCCCTTCCCCCAATTCTTAGAATAGTTTCAACAGGTCTCATTTTTCCATTTTCATACATGAGTACATAGTATTCAACCATATTCTTTACCCATTCCCTATATCTTCCCCATCCCATTGGTACCAATCCCCCAGACAGGACCCATTTTATCTTCCTGTCCTTTGTTTTTGAAGAAAAAAAGCCTTTTTTGTTTAAGATATCTATACAGAGTTTCATTATGACATTTCCACATTTATATGTATTGTATCCCGATTTAGTTCATCCTTTCCATTTTTCTCCTTTTTACCTTAATTCCCTTCTTATGGTGATTTCAACAGGTTTAAAAAAATCTATATTCATTCTCATATAGAAATTACATCACCCATATTCACCTCTGTACTTCCTTCTTTTACCCTCCTCTTAGTGTGACTTGTTTTTCATCTTATCCTTCATTTTTTAGGTGTCTGTTCATTGTTCAGTGGGATTTTTGCCTTGGTTTTATACCTGTACATGTGTTGTACTTAAGTCAACGAAACCCCCTTCCACTGCACTTCCTTGCCCTTTCCCCTACCCTGTGTTGTTTAACCTTTTTTCATTGTGTCTTGTTCCTCCACAGATGTGATGGATTTCATTCTTATTTGCTTTCTTTCCTTCTGAGAAAAAAATCTTTAAAGAATATCTTATTTAGAATGATTGTACAAATCAGTTTGAATTGTATGATGTTGACTTTTCCCAGGTTTGTATTGAAAAGCATTTCAGATATTCTAGCTTTCCCTCTGCCACTAACTAGATCTGTAAATCTTCAGCAAATTCATGATTTAGCACCATCACACAGTATTATAAGGTTCAAATAAGTAAACACTAGTGGATAATATTATTTAAGTAACAGGGGCAAAGAATCATATGCATCAAACATCACTGTTATCATCTAGAATGTCTGAAAAGGCATTTCATCATTTTTTTTTTGTTTTGGCAATACTTGATCTTGAGCTAGCTAGGAAGCCACTCTACCACTTGAGCCATGCCCCAGCCCCTTCGGCTTTAGGTATTTTTTGAATAAGATATCACATTTAGGCCTAGATGGCTGGTGTGTGCCACCACACCCAACTTCTCATTGGCTGAGATGCGGTCTCACAAATGTCTGGCCTGGGCTGGACTGGAACTGTGATTTTCCTCATCTCAGCCTCCAGAGTAGCTAGCATTATAGTGTGAGCCACTGTGTCTGGCTCACAGGTTTTTATTAGTTACATAGTTACTGAAAAGCACTGGGACTGGTTTGCTTGATTCTTTCCCACTGCCCCCTTCCAGGCTGGAATTTATAGGCAATAATCAACAGGAAGAGAATTATAAACAGAAATAGATGCGAAAAGGATTTTACAAAGTAGAAAAATTAAAACTTAGACATTGGATGACATGATTTTTTGCTCTGTTGATACTCCTCTTAGTGTAAATCCTTAAGTTCTATCATGCTGTAGATTTTCTATGCACAGAGAATAAGTTTTCTTATCACTGAATATAACTCAGTATTCATTTCCAGCTGGCATAGGCATTTAACATAAATGTGTTATTAATATTTACACATTACAGAACTTCTAGGGATTAAGGCAAAAAGGTTTCTATAACAGCAATAATACAAAATTCACTTATCAAAATAGCAGCCAATCTGTAACTGTTTTGCAACGCACATTAAAACATATAACAAAAAATTTCTGCTAAATCATGGCACAGTCTTTTTAGTAAGCACTAGAAGTAAAGCTTGAAATGATTCTAAGCCTACAAGTTACCATCTACCTGGTTTTCATTAAATTAATATAATTTCTGGGCACCAGTGGCTCATACCTGTAATCCCACCTACCTGGGAGGCAGAGATCAGGAGGATCACAGTTCGAAGTCAGCCAGGGAAAATAGTTTGCGAGACTATCTTGAAAAATACCCAACCCAAAATTCTTGTTAGTCAGTCTTCCCTTTTTGTGTTGGTATTTTGGAGACAGGGTCTCAAACTGAGGCACTCACTTCAAACCCCAGTACCACCAAAACATTACTAAAATTATTTTAAATATTTGGGTTTTCGTTGCATTGTCATTTTTGTTAAAATGACAACATCCCTCAGCTTGAGGGACAACTTCCTAGTTTCTGAGTATTAGAAAACCCAGAAACACTTCACAGAAAAGTTTGATGCTAGAGGACCCATACCACTTAAATGCTCAATTACATAATCGTGACCTCACATGAAAGAATGCACAGGCTATGCACCATGTGCAGCAGATAGTGAGCATTTTAGAGTTGCTAACCAACTGTCACCACTCAGGACCTGCCGCAGATACTGTTCCTCATATTAATTGCTCTATTTCTGTTAACTATACTGAACAAAATTACTGATCAAGAAATATTTTTTAGCTAAATAAATAAGGTGAGGCATAAGCTATTTAGCAATAATTCCTCAAACCAGCAAGGGGACAGGGAATTGAAGGCCAGTGTAGGCTATATTGTAAAGATCCTGTCTCAAAAATGTGCTAGAAAATTTGGCTAGACAAATGGTAAAGTTAGGAAAGTAGTAGCTACTTTGTAAATTAGCAAAGGCTTCTAGAAGTCAAATGGGTTGTTTGTCTCATTTTCTTTAGGGAAGGAGATGGACATTCATGTATGGATTAGATGCACGATTGGATTAAAATCCAGATTTTTTCTACAGAAGCAGCATAGTAATAGGCGGGAAACAGGAAATTCAAGAACCGAATGTGAAAAAATAAATGTATGAAGAATAAGGAGTACCACGACATACTGCTTTCTCAGAGAGAAATCCTAAAAAGCCTTGGCAAGAAAGCTCTGCATGTATAGTGAAAAGCAAAGAGGAAAATTCACATTTCTTTTCTCAGCTCTACCATTGGCTGCTTGAGTGAAAAGATACTATTGCCTAGCAATAGATAACAGCAAATTATCAATAGATATTAAACACCTATCACATGAGATTTAATAATAATTTAGGATTAGGACTGTATGACCAATTCTTAGACAATTAGAAAGTTATCTTAAATTTTCACAGAAACTCACCGATTAGCGGGTAGGGCGCTGCTTCCTTTCCAGAGTTGACCCATAACTGGAAATCCCTCTCAGAGCCCTTGGAGATAAAAGAATTAAAGTCACAATAAATCTTTCAAGTGTAACACTTGAATGAGGACACATTTGGGGGCATTTTTATGCTTTGCAAAAGGAAAAGCTTGGCAACAATATAAATGCTCCTTGGGTTCTTGGGGTGGTTATGTTTTTTCAAGAGGGTAATGCTAATTTCTGCAGTCCATCTGGCGTTACTCAAAAGGGCCTGAGAACCACTGCTTCCCCTGCTTCTGGCTGGGAACCAACAAGTTGCAATGGAACTGGGCCCTCACTACACAGGTAGCCCGGGGCGTGTGAAATCATAAGGAGGCCTTTTACAAAAGAAAAATAAACTTCTGGTTCTAAAAAGCTAGTTTCTTCTTTAAAATCCTGACTTCTGTGATGTCTCTGGACTTCTCAGAGAATACTGGACTTAATGTCCAACATGTCTTGCAAAGATAGCCTTGTTACCTATCAAATCAAAAACACTACTGTCTATGTGATTAAAAAATAAAATTTCAAAGGACACATTTTTGTCAGCTCAGCTGTTCCTGAACAGAAGAATGACCGATAGGCTGTGAGGATATGGGTAGTTGGCACAGTTAGCCCTAATTCAGGTCTGGGCACAGAAAGGATAAGAATTCTACCTAGAGAATAGGCCAATCAAGGAAAACGAAATTGTTCACTAGCAGGATTAGAATCCACAATACTGCAAACCCTACTTGAAAGAAATAACTCCAAATTATACAGATCTTGCAGAACTCTTTAGGAGGGATAAAACAAAAATGTTTAAAGTGAGGGTAGACTGGAGAGAGTTACGTATGTTGGTAATATTTCACATCCTCGTATTTCTGACTAAAAATCATGGCCCTGCCCTTAAAATAGAGGGTTTTGACTTTGAAGAGCACCATATGACCGCTCGTGGCCACACACACACGCGCAGATAGTCATTTCTTCCCTGTCTCATCTCAGCCAAAGAGGAAGAGCAATGTAATAAAAATCTTGTCTTTTTAGGCAGTGTTGAAAACACTGTAAAAATCCCTTAGCCTCAGTTTCTAATTAGATTTTTTTTCTGGTCTGAGCAGATTATCTAAAGAAGCATAGATAAGAAAATGAGTCATGTATTAATCTCCTTTCCTATCCCTTAAACTGTTCCCTTTCTAATATAGGTTAAATATCAATGCAGAAGTACCTGCTTTAACCAGTGCATACAAAATTTAATTACACTTTAAACATATTACTCAATTTTACCAAGAAATCAGATTTCTTATCCCAAACTGTGGTTTCCCTGAGTCCTTAAGAGCTTACTGCAGCATGTGCTATGTGTGTCTGTCACACCATGCAGAGTGTTTTAATGAGAAAGTCTCGTTAGGGAAAAAATGCTGTTCACATGCTTCCCTTCTTGTCCCCCCTTCAAAAGCCCCTGGCCTCATCAAGGTACTCACTATGGTGCTGACATAACTGCCAGGGAGGGACTGAGAAGAATGTTCCTTTACCTCATCCTCAAATACTCTAATCTTTCCCACTGAGAAAATTTCAACAACTCACTTCTACCCCAGCAAACAAGGAAGAAACTAAAAGCAAAACAGAAGAATATGGTATGCGTACTACAGCTCTTCAAATCCATGACAATTCAAAGCAGCCTTTTTTATTACCTGATAAGAGGTAATGACCTCCTCAGGACCTACAGCCAGTCAGTATGGCTTATGAGCAAGTGTTCTTTTAATTAGCATGTATTAATTATACAAAGGGGGTTCACAGTCACATTTCTATACATGCATATAAAGTACTTTCATTAAACTCACCCCAGGATTTTCTTCTCTCTTTTGTTTTACAATTTTAATGGGTTTCATTATTCTATTTTCATAGGTGCTATGAAGTACTTTGATCATAGCACCACCTTCCCCTTCGTCCTCCTGCTGCTTTTCCATATGTAAAAATTCTACTACAAATTTTCCTGAAATTCATCATCATCCTAAGACTGCATCTTGGAATAACAGGATAATTAAATCGGGGAGGAGAACAGTCAAATAGTGCTAAGAAGGAAGAGGTGAAGAAGATTCAAACTTTCTTCTCAAGAATATTTTATAAATATTTTTTGTATGTACAGAGCATATATAATAAAAATATGTATTACTCTACAAAATTATAGTCCAATTTTTATACTTTTTAGTTCACACAGGCTTTAAAATAAAAGACTACACTCATATTACCCTAATGTAAAGGCTTTCAGTCCTTACTTTCTACATTTTTGGAGACCAAATATGACTTGTATGTAATAATTGGCTCTCTTATGGAAAAGGGATAATAGTTACATTCACATTTCTAAATATTAGTTTGAATCTAAAATATCAGTTTTTTTTTTTACAATTAAGAATATTTAGGAGGTGGAGGCAGTAGGATAGAGAGTTCAAGGCCAGCCTGGGCTTTGTTAGCAAGACCCTGTCTAAAAAAAAAAAAAAAGTCTAGCAGAGTAACTTACAGTTATCCCTAGCATTTGTAATGACATGTTGATAACTTCACTCGCTGTATCTGAATTCATTACTGTTATAGTTTTGGACTGTAGAAAAAAAAGAAATAAGAAATACAGCTATAAATGAAGAATTTTAAGACAAATAATCATTGTCAAATGATTATCCAAAGGTAAATCTTGATTTCACATGTGGACAGAGTAAAAGGCACAAGACTTAAATAGGACACAGAATCTTGAATATAAGACACTTATATTTCCTACATATTATATCCTTTAATACAGAATATGTCTCAAAGAATATAAGAGCTTTAAGCAAGTATTAAAAGGTATAAATGTGCTTCAGGGAGAGGACACAGACCCCACTTCTAATCACATACACACAAAGGTCAGTGAAGCCATTTCTCTGCCTCATTTCCACAGTTACACTCCATAATGCAATGAGATTTAAAAAGGGAAAGGAGCTGGATCTCTTTCTTACTTCCTGTGTACTTTCTTCCTGTGTTTTCACAATAGGGATTCTACTCCTTAGGGTAGTGTATAATCAGCTAAGGTGAAATTAAGAGTAAAAACCGTTATAAAATACATCTAAAACTCGATCATTTATTAAGTGCTTTCCATGTGTTTACCACTGTGGCTACTAAGATTTTTGTGGAAATCTTAGACAACTTGAAGTCAAAGAGTAAGAAAAAGAAACAAAAATTTTAGGAAGCTCGATTCTATCACCATCTCCCATTGAACTGGGTATTGATCTATAAGGGTTCTGTGCTACACTACGTTGAGAACTGCTGCTTAAAAACAATCTGCAACAATCAGAAAAAGAATTAAAAAGATTCTGAGTTATGTGTGAAGTTCACTGAGTTCTAACTATCAAAACAGTTTTGCTTTGCACAGAGGTTTTGCATATGATAATTATCTAATAAATCAGCAATAAGCATTGCATCCCTGATAGACAGGGGTTACTTGGCACAAATAGTGTAAATGGAAATGATGTAAGGAAGCAAGGCTACATGAGATCCACTAGAAGCATGTCCCTGGTCTTCTGTGATAGTGTTCTACCCTGTACAGCAATTACTTGACAGGATCAACTGCCCGTTAGCTGAATTTTAGTTTTATTTTTTAAATAAAAAAGGATTTTGAATGAATTGATTTCAAAATATGCTGTTTCTAGTCCCAAGGGTATTATAAAAATGTCTCAGAGCCTAACAGGGAGGACTTAAAGAGTATCCAATCCAGAATCTACCTCTATCAGAGTAGCGCAGGAATGTTATAAACTGGGTTTAAACTGAAATACAATTTCAGAAAATGCTTTGCTGTTTTTTAAGTCTCTTCTGTTCAATTTAAAGAAACGCTCTTATAAAGCCTTTGGCAAAGAGTCTATCTTTTTAATTACCTGGTTTTGAGATAATTTTTCTTTATCACTGGGCACATATGCCTGAAACAGTGATTAGAAGAAGTATACTTTTCCCTACATTCCTTTCTGGGAGTCAAAACAAATGAGTTTCAGCAGATAGAACTCTTTGGCTAATCAACAAATAAAAGAGAAAACTTAAAATGTGACCCTCTGTTACATGTTAGCAGAATTCACTCACAGGTTGAGCACAACTCAAGGCAAAGGATTTAAAAAACAAAACAAAACACATTTCCCCTACATTCACTTCTATCTGGGGAATCACTCCTGAAAGAGACTTTGGCCACGAAAGCTACTTCAGAGATCAATTAGAGTATGCTACTCCATCCTAGCTACATCCACAGTTCTAGTGCTAAAAAAAAAAACACCCCAACCTGACCACATCTGTCTTCTCTTCCAAGTTCATTCTCAAGTACACACTTTCCATACATAAAGTGGTTTTTTTTCTTTTTTTAAGTCAGGGGAATTTCCATGAAAATCTTTAATGTAACTAAGACTTTTTCTTTCTACTTTACTACAGGAGATAGATCTAGGTGGTCTTATACCATAAAAATTTGAGTATTTCCTTGATGCAGTGACATCAGAATTGGTCAGAACATTTCTATAACTTTGGCTGTGTCCCAAACAACACTTTTCCACACATGAACTATTCTGCATGATCCAGTGCTGCTATGAAGTATTACAGACCACAGCATCATAAAAACAAGTTTCCAGCTTGTTTATCACTGATAAGATCTTGGATCTTTTAGTTGGCTTTAGTCAACCAACTATACATGACTGGCATTAAAGACAGTATTTAACTGACAGTACAATCAGCACTGTGAGATAGAAACATACCAATCCCTTAAAAATATCATCTACTTTTTTTTTAACCTGAGGGATTAAATACCTAAAAATTCAAACAACTTTTCATAAGCACTCTCAACTTAAGAAGTGACAAGTTGGGAAAACTGCTTAATAATAATAGGAAATACCTCCTTGTGGAAACAGCTTTACTGCAAGCTTTTAAGACACTTTTGAAAGATCCAGAGAAACAAACATTCATGCAGAGAGAAGAAAGAGACATCTGACAAGCAATATTATTTCCAAGGGTAAATGTAAAATAAAATACTATAGTTAATATAAATTTCTCTTGCTTCATTTTCTCTAGGGTTTGTTTTTCACATACACAAAGATATATATATATAGGAAAATGCATTTCCCCCTAAGGTATTTCTAAACACCTTCCTTCCATAGCACATTCACAATCTGTCTGTCTGCCTAACTCTCTCTCTTTTTATTCATGGTGTTTTCTACCTATGCAGGGACTTGGAATTTAATTTTCTGGCTTAGAAACACTTACATAGGCACAATTCCCAATGTCCTTGGTGAAGATTTTGAGGGGAATGCTCTTCGGGTAGTCCTTTTCTTTCTCTAGATTGATGTATCTAATCAAATGCAACGACAACCCAAAACAACACTGAGTCAGATGGAATTCGCTCATGGCTTATTTTAAAAATCAATCTGTTTTGATAATATTTTCAATGTACTTATACACTATTGAAAAAAAGACACATAAAAGACTCAGCCAAGTCAGATTACATTATGGGTTGAAAGAGGAAAATTCTTCAGGACATTAGGCACGGGTACAAAAAAAGAATGGGCCACGCATGCTGAGTGAGGTTTGAGACGCATTGTCAGGTTTAGTAGCGCTGGGTGATGCTTCATCCATAAAGCCTCCCTGTGTTCTCTGAACAGGTGTGGCACCTTGCTAAGCACAAGAACATATGAAATATTTTAACACAACCCAAAGCAATGGCCTTTCATTTCTCATTTAGTTCTCCAACAGAGTGTAAATCTCTATTATCCCCTTGCCTGGGGAGAGGGAAAGGAAGGAATGAGGGAAGGGACTCTGGGTCTAACTGATGAGTCTAAGTTGACCATTTCAGTCTGTATATTTAACAGTAGGGATAATTAATTTTTGAAGTGCTCTGAAGAAAACCTTGTATTTATGGAAACTTAATACATACTCTAAAGAAACTATTAGCTCCAATAGGTAGCTTGGAGATGACAGGAGAGATAGAAGAGATAGTACTGACTAATTTCTGCCTAAAATGATCAATGTTCTCCTTCCTAGAAAGAAGAGATGCTTTTGATGAGAGAACGTTACTTCCAGTAAGTAGCAGCTATTGTAAGGTCTCAACAGCAGCTTATTTTGAGGACAAATGAGCAATTTCTTCTAAGGAGAAAGGGAATAGCTTGGAGCACATCTCTGCACTTGCTGAAGATTAAATACTGAAAAAGTACCTCTGGAGAAGAGAGAGCCATGTATCCTTTTGTTCTGGAGAACTGCAATCAAAGAAAATGGAGGAGAAAAATTAAACCACATAAAATACTTATTTTAAAGACTGTCAACTGTACACTTAAGCAGCAAGCTTGGCATAACTGTGTTCTGGAGACCCCGAAGGAAGTTTTAGCTACTTGGGAAAAATGACACAGTCAGGGGTTGTTTTATTAAATCCTCTCAGATGGATTCAAGACAGGCCCATTTTAATACTTTACTGCTCTTTACCAGTGGTAGTAGATATAAGGGACAAGTAGCTCTTGTAGAGGAAAGAGTACTTGACTTCAAATTCAAATATTTGGTTTCAAAATTGCACGCAAGCTAGATGACAAGCAAATTCCTTAACCAAAAACCTCAGTTTCCACACTTGTAAATCTGTGTTAATTATCTCACCCAGAGTATTTCCGCAGCTTAAAGCATAATGCCACTAAAAAGTATGCTTAATACTGAGATGAAAGGCAAATTTGCCACACAGATGGAACTGTCTGGGTCCATAAGCCAGTCAGTCAACGGGAAAAGACACTTTTTAAAAAAAATTCAGAGAACAAAATTGTAATGTAGTAAATTAGCTAATAGAAAATGCATTTAAATTAGGAACCTCCTGAGTAATAAGAATCTACTTACAACTAAATTACTATTGAATACTTTTTTCTGCTGATGTCACTGTTGCATTTAATTCTTTTTTCCATATGATTCTTGTTTATACTTTATTTTGGTGACTGTTGTACTAGGAGTACATTGTGATATTTACAAAATTTCTTAGAATATATCATACTTGAATTCACCCCTCCATCATTTTCCTTTATCTCCCCTCCCCCGATTCCTGGAATAGTTTCAACAGGTCTCGTTTTTCCATTTACAAACATGAGTACAGAATATTTGTACCATATCACCCTCTGACCCTCTTTCCTTATATCCTCCTCTCTCTCACTGGTACCACCTCCCAGACAGGACCTGTTTTGCCTTCCTGTTTTGTTTTTGTAAAAAAACGGCATTTTTGATTGTTTAAGATCGCTATAAAGGGTGTTTCATTGTGACATTTCCATGTATATTTGTATTATAACTTGATTTGGTTAATCCTCTCTATTTTTCTTTCTACCTTAGGCCCCTTCTTGTGGTGATTTCAATAGTTTTAAAATTTCCATATTCATTCTTATATAGGAAGTACAACAACCATATTCACCTTCTTAACTGTCTTCTTTTACCCTCCCTCTCTCATATGTGACTTTCCTTTAGCATAATCTGTTTCTCATAATATTCCTGTAGAAAATATGTGGCCTGTGATTTTCTGAGCCTAGCTAACTTCACTTAAGATGATGTTCTCCAGTTCCATCTATTTACCTGCAAACGACAAAATTTCATTCGTTTTTATGGCTGAACAAAATTCCATTGTATTTAAATATCACATTTTCTGAATCCATTCATCAGTAGTGGGGCATCTTGGCTGTTTCTGTAGTTTAGCTATTATGAATAATGCTGAAATAAACATGGGTGTGCAGGTGCCTCTGTTATAATCTGACTTACATTCCTTTGGGTATATCCCTAGGAGTGGGATTTGCTGGATCATATGGCAGCTCTATTTTTAGTTTTCTGAGGAGCCTCCATCCTGTCTCCTTAGTGGTTGTACTAATTTACATTTCCCCACATCCTCACTAACATGTGTTGTTTGTTTTTTTGATGATAGCCATTCTAACAGGAGTGAAGTGGAATCTTAATGTGGTTTTGATTTGCATTTTTATGGCCAGGGATATTAAGCATTTCTTCATGTGTTTTTTGGCCATTCGGACTTCTCCTTTTGAAAAAGCCCTAGTTAGTTCATTTATCCATTTCTTCATTGGGTCATTGATTTTTTGGGAGTTTAGTTTTTGAGCATGTTTAATTCTTAAAGTTAAAAATAATTTCAAGTTTATTCATATATAGTCTTGTCACAAAAATTTTAAAATCATATTTCTAATCTCTTGAGAAATTGTAAATATTTTCTTGCTCTGAAAAATAAAATATTATTTGTAAAAAGACATAAAAATTATAATTTTTTTCTAACTTTGTTGGCTTAGTAATTTTCTCATAAAAAATTTACTAGGACTGGTAATCAGAAAATATACTTCATTTTTTAAAAAAAATCACTGACCATACAATTTTTATCTTTAACATTTCCCTATTATCTTTTGGTGTTCTCTCTTTTCTAAAACAGATTTTCCAGATTCAGTTATGTCAAATCTTAGATTTATTTAGTGGAAGTCTGCATTGAAAACAATTAATGTGATGTTTTCTTTTGACCCATCAAGTTTTTCAAAGTAAATAAAACTGTTTCTTCAAGATACTTAGTGTTTTTTAAATTTCTAAATAGAATATGAGATATGCAGGGAAAACTGTATAAACTTTAAGTGCACTACCTGAAAAATTTTTACAAACTATGTACACCTATGTAACCAGCACCCAGATCATGAAACAGAAGATTACCGTGGAAAGTTCCCACTATCCAGTTTTCCAATAGCAGACTTTTGCTTATTTGTTGTTTTCCTATATCTAATATTTTTCCTCTTCTAGTTGTTTTCAAACTTTTTCTCTGTCTTTGACTCATAGCAGTTTGTCTATATGAAAAGATGTCATTTTCTTCATATTCATCCTGTTTGTAGCTCACTGAGCTTAGTGAATCTGTGTATTTATGTCTTTCACTGAATTTAGGAAGTTTTTAATCATTATTTCTCCAAGTCTTTCTTCTACTCCTTTCCTTCTCTCTCCTCTTTCTGGGATTCCACTGTTACATCTTTTGATCTTTTCTCACAAGTCCTGGATGCATTTTGGCTCTAAAAAGTCTGATGATCAGAGAAAACAACCTGAAATGATATATCTTCAAATCTGTGAGTCCTCTCATTTCCATTCTGCAAGGTCACATAGACATTTTTATTTAAGATATTTCTCAGTTGTAGAATTTCCATTTGATCTTTTCTAACATTTTCTATTTCTCTGATAAGATTTCCTATCTTTTCATTAATTTCAGTAGATTTCCCTTTTACCCTTCATGTATACTTACACAAGCTGTGTTGAAGTTCTTTCCTGGGTAACATGTGAGTCATCTCAAGGCTTGCTTCTACTAATTATGTTTTCTCTTTTCTTTATATGTCAAGGAATTTTTTATTGCGTTCTGGACATTAGGAATGTTTTGTTTTAGAGACTCTGACCTCTGTTACATTCTTGTTGTTTCAACAGACAACTAATTTGGTTGAGTCAAGTTAAAAACTATCTCACCTGTGGCAGTCAGCAGCTCAGTTGAACTCTTTCTGTCTTAGCTTCCAGCAGCTTTGAGTCTCTCCCAGGTATGTGGGGCTCAGCAGTCAGTCCCCTGGACAGTGTCTAGACACAGAATGTGGAGCTTCCCTTCTCTGATATGTTCCATTTTGAGATTCACCCTCTTGCTTTCCAATAACCTTGTTTGGCTCAGATTCTGTACTCTGCTTCTTCAAGCCAGAATGACTGTGGAGGTTTGTGAGTTTTAGTTACCCTGCACCATGATGTGACTGTGGTCTGCTTTCAGGCTAAAACCTTTTGACCACATGAGTGTTGGTGCCTCCAAGTGTCATCTCCTCTCCAGAATCTCTCACCTTTTGACCACTCCCACTCAGAACCCTCAGGTCGTTGCTGTTGCCATTTTGTTCAGATTTTAGAGTTGCTGTCTATAGTGTGGTCAAGCTGTTAAGATTGCACTCTGCCAAATGAGAGGCACAACTCCTCAACAGCTTGCTTTGTTTGAAAGATAAACTTACTTTTGAAATTATTTTATTTTTTGAAAGCAATTATGTTTCTTACGAGTACATATCAATTGTACAACATGTGGGTTTCATTGTGAGATTTCCATACATGCATATAATATACTTTGATTATATCTATCCCCTGTTAGTCTTCAGACTTCCAGATACATAGATAATGCAGTGAGTTCCTAGGTCCTTCACATCCAGTTTTGGTTTCCTCTACTGCTATCCTCTTACATCATCATGGTCCATTTGCCAAAACTAAGAAATGCTGACACTTCCTGTTAACTAAACTCTTGACATGGTTCACATTTCACCAGCTTTTCTATTGGCAACCTTTGTCTGCCTTAGGATCCAGTCCAGGGTACCACAGTATATTTAGCTATTATGTCTCTTTAGGATTAGTCTAGGACAATTTCCTGACTTGACAGTTTTGAGGAATACTGGTTGGGTATTATATAGAATCTTCCTCAATTTGTTTTTGTGGGATGTTTTTGTCATGGTTAGATTACAGTTGTTTTCTGGAGAGAGGAATGCTTCAGAGGTGAATTGCTCCTCTCATCCCATATTAAAGGGGTATAATGACATCCACATGACGTGACTGGTGATGTTAACCTTGATCACTCTCAAGTCATAGTCTGAGCAATAGAATGCAGATAAGATATGCTCCCATGCTTCCCTCTCTTAAAAAGACATTTCATAGAAATTCTTTGATTAAAAATATCTTGTAGTCATCCCTCACTTGAATTTGCTTCCTTTCACCAAACAGGTCAAATGATAGGAAGTGATAATATCTATAGAAATCTGCATAAAAATAGAAGATGTGCATAAAATGACACAAACACATGTTTCTTCCAAATAAGCTCTTAAAATCTTGTGGTAGGCCAATAGTGCATAACAAAATTTAATGGAATGTCTGTCCCTCATTAAAACATGAAGAGCTTGGAAAATTTTAGTTGTCTGGCTTCAGGATGACTCCTGAGCTGTCGGAAGAGAAGCGGAATGAGAAACTTCATGTACTTGTCATAAACACTGACTCCTTAAGTATAAAACAAACACTGGAGCTGGGGTACGGTTTCTCAGAATCACGGGTGGGAGTTTTAGAATGCTTGCTCTGAACCGAAAAGAGCCATCTAATCAGGTGCAGGCTAAAAGGACACATATTCTGTATTCATGCATTCTCCAGCACAGCCCAGGTTTAGGAGTCACTCTTAGGAAGAAACTAATTTTCATACAATACCATAAATTTGCTTTCAATTGTCACATCTCAATAAACGACAAATCAAAGTCTGATGCACAGTTCAGGAAACTCAGTACTTTATGACATTAATTTTATTTATATAAAAAAAAGCTTTTCCTTTAGAAAACCTGGGGGTAAGTTACTTATTCAAACTTAATTGGACTATTTTATAAAAGTCATGTCAGTGAAAGTCTGCTCCAGTGGTCTGAAAAGACTGATAAGGATTGAAAAGTCAATATTTAAAACAAATACCTAGACATCAGCGAAGGGGATAGTGGAGATGGAGGTTTCTAGAGAGCCAACCACTCCACTTCACTTCATATTCCCAGAAGTTACCTTCCTTCCAGTCTTTTCAGTGGAACCTCTTTAAAAAATCACTGGGCAAACCAAGGAAAATGACCCCAAGAGTTCTCATATTTATTATTAATTTTTCACATATTTTAATTCAAAAGTCTGCAGGTGAAAAATAAGGCACCTAAGTAATTTTAGTGGATGTTTTAAGTCAGAAAATGACTTCTTGACTTAATACATAAGCAGAACAAAATGTTTTCCTTGGAAACTTGGAGCAACAAGTTGTAGTTAAATTTGCTTCTCTGCAGCCTAAACAGGAGGGAAGCCAGGCATTCCAGTACCCAGGACGTGCTGTGGATCTTACCTGAAAGTGGCGACAAAGTTCACTGTGGGCCAGCCTAAGACGAAGGATCTCACGGCATGGGTGTTGCCTTCTCCAACCTCATCCACACAGCTTGCTGTCCACATATCACTTAATTTTATTTTATTTTTTATCTTAAAGCTATTGTTATGTCTAGAAGGATAAAAACCAAACAGGACGTCTTGTTATTTCTTTTCTTAAGTCTTACAGGAGCTTCTTTTACTTGTTAAGTGAGGAAAGTCTCCACTATCACGGACACACTGTCTTGCTGCTTCTATCTTTGGTGACTAGCTTGGTAAATTTTAACACCCTTGGCTACGGAGCCAAGAAGGCCTCAATATTTGGTGAAACATTTAGTCCTCATGCCTATATTTATGACAGAAAATATCTAAAACTGACTATTTTTCTAAAAATTGATCACTGAATTTGGATCAAAACCCTAATTTAAATGGACAGCTGTTTACAAAAATTTATTATTTATAACTGTTTACTTGCAATATGATTTGAGTGGCTGGATATAAAAACATGATTTATTAAAATGTTGACAAAATTACAGTCTTTTGATAGATGTAATTAAAAAAATCCTAGAATCAGAGGAAATTATAATATACTTTCAACTGAGTGGTTGCAAGACTTTCCAGCCTTTCTTCAGATTTTGTTCAACTGTTTTCCTGGTATTCTGGCAGAGCCAGAAAAACCATAATTTAAAAACAGAACCTAAACTAAATTACAAAAGAGAAAAAAGTAGGGTTGGAAAAAATTAACATTCATCTTGGGGGACCTAGACAGTGACCTACTTTAAGTTTGCAGTAAAATTGCTTTTTGACACTTTCTCCATCACAAATTTTAACCTAACTGACATATTCAATATTCAGGATGGGTCTGAGACTTTCCAGTTAGAAGGTACTGAGAAGGACAGAGAGACTGCCTAGGACTTCCTATCCCTCAAAGCCATTTGTGTTTATAAACCTAAAAGCTAATGTGAAATCAAATGGAGCTGGCCCTAACATTCCTCTAATTCATGGAATCTTTAAAGCTAAAACTCTCCAGTGGGGTTTATAAAATGGAAAAGGCTTTTGCAGGAGCTATATATGAAGGTTCATCTAGATGCAAAGCCTCCTCTAGCTTCCTCTAGGGTGCACTGATTAAGTTATAGAAAAGTGCCTTGTGGCACGATGGCTGCATTCTGTCTTTTATTTCAGTAGTTTTCATCCTATTGCTGTGAATCTTTATGAAACAGATGTGATCACAGACAACATCTTATTTCTTGCTGGCAACTATTTAGGTAATATAAAACTAAAACTACAGATCCTCGGGAAGGCCAGGTCATGACTTCTGTGTTTTCTAATTCGGTTCTCTCTCTGTGTTAGATACTTTACATATTTTGAGGGAATTTCCACATCTATTGACCTGGAAAAAAAGTCATTGCAACAATCTTTTCCCTGGAACAATGAAGTATCAAATTTATCCACCACTGATGCCAAAACAAGAAAGTATCTGAAAGTGTAACAATGACTTCCATTCTCCTTTATGAAAAATAACGGCTAATAATGACTGAGAATTTACGATGTGATGGTCATTATTGTTTAGTTTAATCCTCAAACATTTTGTACACAGGAAGTGGAGTCACAGAAAAACTGACCACAAATCAAACACGTTAAGCAGCAGGGTGAGAACCTGAACTGGGTTAGAGCAGACTCTTGAGCTTATTTTTGCTTGGAGTCATTTTGCAGCTATGAAAAGCCCTGGAAACTGCCCTCCTTACAAAGCTCCTGGGAGTTCCCTTCAGCTTTTCTATCACGTCTATCAGATACAAGGCTTCTTGATGGGTCTATCTGCCTATTATGGAGATGGGAGAAAAAATCTCAAGAACATTTACCTACATAAAACTAGATGAACTAGGTCAGGTGTGGTGGTTCACACTTACAATCGCTACTACTCAGGAGGTAGACATCAGGAGGATCATGGTTCAAGACCAGCCCAGGCCAAAAAAAAAAAAAACCATAAATGAGACCCATCTCAACCAATAAATTGGGTGTGGTGGTACACATCTGTAATCTGAGCTACCTGGGGGGCATAGGCAGGAGGATCATGGTCTCAATAAACCCAAAACAAAAATTCAGACCCTATCTGAAAAATAAAAATAGCCGAAAAGTAAAAAGGACCAGAGGCATGGCTCAAGTGGTAGAGCACTTGCTGAGTGAGTGCACAGCCCTAAACTCAATATCCAGTACCATTAGAAACAAAACAAAACATCTAGAGGAACTAGCCTGAAAGCATTTAAAACAGGCATTCTAATAAATGTTCATGTTAAAGTGGAGAGTCCTGGGGTCATAGTGTACTTCCAATACTTCACTCCCAAACTCAAATAGCATCAGACTAGAGGAATTAAAACCCTACGGATCTAATGTGAACCGACCCCAGAGGTATGACTATTATATACATAGGTGGTAGTGGGGTTTGAATTCAGGGCCTTGCACTTGCCAGGCAGTCAATGTACCATTTGAGCAACGCTCCCAGCCCTTTTCCTCATTTTTTGAATGGGGTCTCCCTTTATCTGGGACTGACCTGGACTATGATCCTATTTGCCCTTCCCACATGGCTGGGATGACAAGTGCATGCCACTATGCCCAGGTTTTATGTTGGTTGAGATGGGGTCACAAGAACATTTTTCCCCATGGGCTGGTCTTGAACAATGAGTAGCTAGGATTATAGGCATGAGCCACTATACCTGGCAGATTCACCACTATCTCTACTAGTTCTACACCAATAGGGGTTAAGTATAAACCTAATTTAAACCAGCTGAAAAAATGATGACAATCCCCAAATCAATATACTTCTAAATGTAGTTCACTGCTACAAAATTATTAATATGACCGATGTACTTTGCTTTATTATACTCTAGTCTTTATATGAGAAGGAATTCCAATAGCCTGTTGAAATACACACAACACTAGGGAGATTTTTACCTCCCTTTTTTTTAACCCTCTTTTAAAGAAGGAGGTATTCTGTGTTTTAAGGCAGCAATCAAGATAAGAGTCCACAAATATGTAATATAATTCTAGTGATAACTAATAATCAGAACTTTGTCAAATATCTTCTTTTTTTAACCTGAATAGAACTCGTTGTTTACCATTTGCTTAGGGAATAAAGTATACAAACAGTTAATAGCTTAAGAGCTATTAAGTATAGTCATTTTTTTTTCTCTATGGCTATTAACAGAGGCAATATTAACTGCTTTCTAAATACTTGAGTATTTGTAAAACGGATCCTGTTTTTAAAAATGGATATCCATAATTTTATTGGAGAAATAACTTATCTTTCTAATGAATATGAAAAATGGTCTGGAAGGCTCCATCTGGCTTTAACACTTCTGCTAATTTAGTATGGAAAGGAATGGCAAAACTGAAAACAATTTTCAGCAAATACTATCGACATCAAGCACAAAAATGGAGCAAACATAACACTAGCCAGTAAAAAGGAAGCATTTAGACCCTTTCTACTATTTTTTTTCCTTTATTGTTGTGCTGGGCGGGGGTACATGGTGGCATTTACAAAGATTCTTACAATGTATCAAATGCATCATACTTGGGGTCACCCCTTCCACAGCTCTTGCACTTGCTAAACTAAGCGTTCTTAGTTTGACTAAAAACTAATTGGCAGTGCGGCAATTATTTATGCCGAAAGCAGTTTCCAAATGCAGTCTAAAGATGAGTTGATACAATATGGAGCCAAGGCCTCCCTTCCCCATGACTAGAGAAAAAGCACTAAGAACCAAATACTAGGTGCTAGGCTTGGATTATTTCAATAAATGAAGCATCCAGAGGACCACCCAGCCCTTTATCCAAGGGTCAGATAGGATAGGAAAGACACAAGTTTGGTGTTGCAGAGGGCTAATCCTTCTTGGTTGCTGTTTATTTTAGACAATAGTAACAACAATAATTCAATAATCTCAAATATCTTTGTTCTATTTCAAAGGTCATGGGTTGATGCCAAAAAATGAAGAGTAATTTTAAATATTTCTAACGGATATAAAAAAATACTTAACCCTTCATGAACCAAATTCCTTAAATCACAGCACCTAAATCAACTGATAGTTTGTCACCTCATAAAAACATTTAAGTGGACCCAAACAATATTTCAAAAACATGGTACAACCTTGTGTGAGAAAGAAAGGAAGAAGTGAGATGAAAGTCAGCTACTTGACTTTGGTACAGATTTGCCAATGTATTTATAAACAGCAAGGTACATGAAAAAGCTATATAAAATGTGGGGTTTTTCTTTTAGCAAAACAATAGGTTGCATAAAATCCATTTAGATGCTTGCAGTATTCAGAACAATAAATAACTGCAGGTAAGAAAACAAAGGTCTCCTACTCTGAACATTATCATAATTGCTAAGGGGGGAAAAATCCAGAAAAGGTAAAGGAAAATGTATTCCCTCACAGCTGAATATAGGTTACAAGTAAATAGTCTTTAAGTTCAGGAATTTAATCACTGTAATAAAATTTTGTGATTTGCGCATCTGCCTTCACACCGAGGCACCTAATGTGGTAGAGTAGGAGGAGCTAGCTTTTGAATTAAGGCCTTCGTTCCCACCCCAGCTCTACCATTTCCTAGTATGTGACAAACACCCCTGAGCCTCAGTGCTCAATTTCTGTAACAACTCTTACCTGAGGGGATTCTTCAGAAAAACTGAGGCCTTTGTGATTCTCCTATTATAATACTAACAGGCAGACTGCATCCAACAATTCTAAATAAGGAACAATAACTAACCTACTACTTTTAGAAATAATGATTTGCTCCCCTACTAGTAGCCTCCCTGCTTAAGAGCTTTGAGTGCACCTAGTACAAAGGTTGGGAGGAGAGATTTCTTTCTCTGTGTTCCTCCTAACATCATATCCATCCCAAAGCTACACTGTAAGCATTACTTCTATTTAAAATACATTCTGAAAGTCTTACCTTAATTTTTGACTTTAAAAAATATTTGAACAGTTCATTAAGCACTCTCTACCACATTTTTTGCTAAATGAGTGTTTGGTTGGAGCCTTTTACTTATAAAGAAAAGATTAATTTAATGGTGGAAAGCACTCTACATGGTTGAGGAATCTTTCATGAAATTCAGAAGAATCAATGAAGTAACAGAGACAGCAGACTGCATATTAGTTAGGAGAATGGACTTTGAAATAAGATAGACCTGTGTTAGTACACGGACCTAACTAAGTAATAACTGAAATCTGGGGAAGTGACTTAACTTGTCTGAGTATCAATTTCTTTTGTAAAGTAAGGAAAATAACACTCAACACACAGAACAGTTATAAAAGTTAAGGTCTTTTTCCTAGTATACAACTAGATCCTAATAAATGCTTATTTATTGTTATTATTAATACTACTCATATTAAATATAGTTTTTTGCTAGGTCAATCCCTTAACTCTGTCTGTACCTTATTTTTTTTTACCACATGGCATAATTTAGGTATGGGAGTATGGTTAATAAAATAAAAGTGATTACCTATGATTAAAAATATTTTTGTAGAGAGTGTATTTGTTGAAATACTCTCATTTTTCAGTATGTCTCAATTAGCAAGAATAGGGAACAGAGCAGGCAGCCAGCACCTTTTAGGTCAGGTGTTAATTGCATTGGTATGTAAGCACTGAATCCTTTTGGGTACCTCAAAAGTATCTTCCAAATATATCTGTAACATTAATGTCATGGACCTAGATAGAGCCCTCACCGTCTCCCATTGGGACTACCACAATAACCTCTTTTTACAGTCTTCCTGCTTGCCTACCCTCAAAACCGTTATCTAACATGAATAAATGATGGTTTAGAAATACAAATCACATTATGGTACTCCCCAGCTGAAACCCTGCAGAAAAAAATTCAAACTCCTTATCACAACCTTTGAGGTTTGGAGCCTCTAAGATTCTCCTTAGTGACCCCTGCTTCCTGATACCCCTGGTGTAGCCCCTTCCGTACTGATACTAGGATTGGTCTGTGTGGTCAGTAACAGTCTTCACAAATGACAGCACAATACTTCCCAAACATCTTTCCTTCCAAAGGAAGCAAGTTTCCATGCTCTGAGAAGCACCTGTAGAGGTTCATGCACAGAGGAAGTAAAGAGCCCCTGGACACAGCCAGAGAGGAACTGAGGCTGCCACCATCCTCTTGAGTGAACTTGGAAGTGGATTCTCCAGTCGAACCTCAAGATGACTATAATCTTACTGAGGGCCCTTGAACTGGAAACCTCCAGCTAAACACTCCCAATTTCTCACTCAGAGAAACTGTGTGAGATGTTTGCAGTTTTAAGCTGTTATATTTTGGGAGCGTTTGTAATATAGCCCATTCTCCCAGTATTTGAATGGTTAGTTGCTTGTCATCCTTTAGTGATTTTTTTCCCCTTACTACGCCTATGTACTGTATGTTTTAGTTCCCCCAGCACCTTATTTTCTTCATAGTACAAATCACAATCTGTAACTTCCCCCCACATAAGCTCCACATTAGTGTGTGAGCTCCAAAAGTGCAGGGACCACGCCCATCAGATTCTTCCTCATAGTCCTACCACAAATGGGAACCTAAATGAATGTGAACGTGATGAATGAATAAACAGTTGAAACTTTTTTTGCAAGAATAAAAATCAGTTCAGATATTAGCCATAGTAAGCACTGTGTAGAAAGGGCACCTTTGTAGAAATGCAATTTTACAATGATAACTGGAAGACAGTGTGTGTATACTTACTTGATTTTGGTTGCCAAAAACAGATCGTTGAATAGGAAAAGATGACGCTCCTGCCTCTGTAGGCCTCTTTTGAGTTCTACCTGGCCATCAATCAACAGAGTTCTATTGGAGCACACAAATGATGACAGAAATGCACAAGTGTCGATGCCAGAAGAAGGACTTTCCCTACAACAAATTGCATGCCACAGATCAGTTAGTCAAATGATCAACTATAAGACAAAGGTTTATAAAATCAGAGTTTATGGTTGATCAAGAAGTATAATGCAATTGCACAGTGTCATTACTGGTCCCTTACCTATTTCTTATACAATAGCCTTTTAATACTTCACTATGAAAAATTTGAAACATATATTGAAATGGAAACAGTTTTACAGTAAGCACATGTATAACCCAATGTAGATTCCACCATTAAAATTTTACTATTTTTCCTTCATCATAAACAAATTCAACTGACTATCCTATCCATTAGTTCATTTTATATCTTGCATTTCAGTACTGCTCAAAGCAGTACATATTCCCCTAAATAAGTTAGCAGGCATATTGTTAACTAGAGTTTACCACCAAGAATTTTTCTTGATATAAAACTTACATACAAATGAAGTGCACAAAAGTACTTATGTTAAGTGTATATTCACTAAGTTTTGACCAATGCATTTACCTGTGTAATCTAAACTCCTACCAAGATACAGAAAATTATTATTTACCCCAAAAATCTCCCTCTTGCTCTGTCTTGGTTATTATACAAATGAGCCCAGTATGGTCTCCAGGGATTGGCCCTGGGGTTGTTGACTTCTTCAATGCAGGCTGAGCACCATCAGTACAAAAGCACACTGATAACAAATGCAAATTTTTACGTATCCAATTATTTAAAATTAGCCCAAGTAAGAAGTTTTTAGCCTACCTGTTTGCACACCCAGCATCTGCTGGCCAGTGATGAAAGAGTTTGTGGTTCTGAGATCCCAAGTTGCTACTGGGCTTTCTGACCCTGGCCATTCTACCAGCAACATCCTCTGGACACATAACCTTCAGCGACACCCTCTCTGACTCTCTTCCTACTTCCCTACTAGATGGCTGCTCCTGTCCCTAACTCTCTGGACAATCTTATGCTATAAGTTCTTCCTTTCTTATGCAGTCCTGTCTCAAGGTCATCTCTTTCCTTGACCAGCACTGAAATCGCCCAAGTTCCATATGCCAGTTATCCACTCTATCGCTCCAGAGGCAACCTCTATTCCGGGTCTTTTTCTAGATGATGATAAGTTTTGCCTGTGCTAGAATTCTATGAAAACAACACCACAGTATATATTCTTTTGTGTAAGATATCTTTTAATCAGAATGTTTTTGGGATCCATTCATGTTACATTTATCACAATCCTATTCAGTATATCAGAGCTTATCTGTTCCCCTGCTGATGGACACCTACCTGTTTACAGTTTTTATCAATTATGAGTAAAACTGCTACTATTGCACTGTGTATTTTGTGATCTATGTTTCCAGCTCTCTGGGGTAAATACCACAGGGTGGAGCTACTGGGTCACAGAGTAGGTGCTTAATTTTAGAAAAACCTGCCAGTTAGTTTTCCAAAGTGGTGGTACCATTTTATGTTCTCAGCACACTACAGGAGAGTTCCTTGCTCCACTACCACTCCAATGTGTGGTGTTTGTCAGCCTTTTGGATTTTAGCCAATCTAGTGGATATATGGTAGCACCTCACTGAGATTTTAGTTTGCATTTCTTTGATAACTAGTTTCTGTTGTATTCTTACTGGCTACATGTGTCTTCATCTGTGAACTATCTTCAAGTTTTCTGCTCATTTTTGTTTTTGAGATAGTCTTGATATGTAACTGAGACTGGCCTTGAACTCAATATGTATCCTAGGCTGGAGAACTTTCAACCTCAGTCTCTCAAGTGCTGTGATTATAGGCTTGTGTCACCATGTTGGTTTTTTTGCCCTTCCCCTCACATTAAAAAATGGATTATCTTTTTATTGTTGAGTTGTTGGAATTTTTTTACATATCCTTGATACCAGTCCTTTGTTGGAAAATATTTTCTTTTGGAAAACATTTTCTTCTAATCTGTTGGTTGCTTATATCCTTTAATTGTCTTTTTGACAAAAAGTTTATACCCTTGATGGAGTTTATCAATTTTTTTCATACGGTATTTATTTTCTGTAACCTTTCTAAGAAACCTTCATCTAGCACCAAGTCATGAAGATACTTTCCTTTGTACTCCACAAAAATATGCATGATCTTTAGTTTTTAGTCTATGATTCATCACACATGAACTGTGTTTATGGTGTAAAGTAGAAGCTAAAACTAATTTTGTTTTTCTATATAGATACCTCTTTATTCCAGCATCATTTGCACAAAAGGCTTTCCCTTTCAAGTGTTTAACACTTGAAAGAGATCTCAGAAGCAGAGATGTAGGTTTCCTTGCACGTCTGTTAAAAACTAAATGACTAAAAGTATAGGAGGTCTATTTCTAGGCTCTCTATTCTGTGACACTCATCCTCTTGTGGATTCTAATGCTAGAACCACATTGCCTTATTGTTTCTCTTTACAGTAAATCATGAAATTAGGTAGTGTAAATCCAGCAACTTTTCCTTTTTTTTGTTTTCAGATTGCTTTGGACGATCTAGGTCCTTTCCACTTCCTAGTAGATTATAGAAGAAAAGGGAGGGAAAGCTTTTGTGGGTGGGGAAGAAGAGATGATCTCAGTTTTTAATGAACTGATTCTGCAGTTATCAGTGGGACAGATGGTATGGAGAAATCAGGCAAGCACCTAGCACTTCACTTGGAAGAGATGTCAGAAGTAGAAATACAGATTTGGTAACCATATGAAGGTGCATAAATAACACTGAGAATGGCTAGAACTTCACATGGTAGAAACATGGAAAAAGGAAATAGGCAGAGACACATTCTTTAGAAAAGATGTGAATGGAAGAAGTGAAGGAAAGAGAACCCATGGACAAGATGAGGACTGTGAATGACACAGCAGAGAAAGAAGACAAAAGGTGGCAATGGTCTGGTGTGCTGACACTGATAGAGGGAACAAAAACTGTGAGGTCTGAGATGTTTGGGGGAGAAGTCATTAGTTGGTCATTAAGACTCAAAAAAAGAGTTCCAGAAGAACAGGGAGGGCAGAAGTCAAATGGCCTGGAGTCTGAGGGGTAAAAGAAGGAGAAATGAAGAACTTAAGGCAGAAAGTATAGCTACTTTTTAAGAGCTTGAAGGATACTTGAAGGATTCTAAAGGGGTATACCTGGTGGGGTAGGAGGGCAGGCAGAAAAACAATCATCCCATAATTTAAAAAGAAAAAAAATCATAGAAGGAAACAAAAACACAAATAACCTTTGCATTTTTTAAAAAACTACAATCTTAATCAGTTTAAAATGTATTTCTCAATAATGTGATTCTAAAGTGTTTGTTTTTGTTCTGAGTGCAATGGAGATGCGTTTATTTGAGCTTCTTCTAGTACAGAAATTGGGGGAAGGGTAAGATTATAAACTTCTACTAGCCTCTTAATATAGCCTGATTAGGACTCAGAAGTTATAATTAACACAGCCCCAAGTGATCTAACAAATATGACCAGCAGAATCTAAGAATTAACCTGCTGCTGCTTCTTACATATTAACATTTCATTTTCAAATGGGCTTATGAAGCTATTTCTGAATGCCAATACGTTTTAGAACCTTAATCATTTGTTACTAAAAGTTGGTAACAGCTCTCATAAAACCTGGCCATAGTAATAGCTCTTAATGTTTATTACTAAGGCTTTTTCTAAAAATGAGTTCACTTTTAGGTACAGTTTTCAAGGTGTTGTTGCTTCATATAAATCACAAAGGAAAACTAAAATTCAAAATACTTCATGGACATGTCTATGTTTCCAAGTAATAATCAATTAGAGATTATGATGATATGTTTTAGATTCAGATAACCTCAAAATCGGGTACAGTCACTGTACACAGTCACTGCTCAATAGTTGTTGAATAACTGAATGCAACTGAGAGTTTACCTTCCAAAAGTTTTCCCATATCTCAAACCCATTCCAAAAGTCATCTCTTCCATGAAAAACTTCTGCCAACTGAATTTTCACTTGGAATCCCTCTGTGACTTATATTCTGTTCTCCATCTCTTAAATATTCCCATTCAACCTTTACTGAGCATACCGTATAGTAAATTACTTATAAAAACAGCATTGAGTTGTCTTTGCTGAGTACCTGACATGGGCCAGTCACAGGAAGCAGAATTGGTTCCTGCCCTCAAGGAGTTAGAAATTATCTAGGGGAATCAGACAAGTAAACACAATGATGAACCAGTGAGGTAGTACAGTAAAAGAAATGCAGAGTCCTGGAGCACAAAGAAGAGAAAACTATGAGTCCCTATCTGAGACTGGATTGGTTAGGAAAGTTTCTTGGAGGAGCCAAAGTTGTAAAGAATAGACAGACAGGTCAATAATGCTGAAGAGCACTGAGGAGAAGGAAGAGTGTGGCAACCATGACCAGGTATTTCAGTAACCGTGGGAAGTTGGGGAAGGCTGGGGTTACAGCACCTGAGGTGGCGAGAGGCCAGACCACTGATGCTTATTTAGATTCTATCCAAAAGCAGGACACCGTGGTTTGTAATATATTGAAGAAAACAGAATAGGGCAACAGAGAAGAAAAGAGGCCATTAGAAAGTTTTTGTAATCTTAGGCAAAAAATGCAGAATGCCTGAGCTGAGAATGAGAAAGAAACAGGAAAGATAGAAGAAAGAAGAAAACAGACTGTTACAAATTGTAAATTAATTAGCTGTGTGTGTGTGTGTGTTTATGTGTGTGCAGGGGTAAGACAAAGATAAAATTGACCAACAAAAAGAATATAGCCTTATTGCCCAGCTTTTATTTATTTAATTTTAATTTTTCATCAAATACCTGTTCAGCATCGATACATGCTGGGTAGTCATTGTGTTAACTGGTGAAAGTATGGGATAAGCAAATTGAATTTATTTCCTACTCTTGTGAAACCTTGGGTCTAGTGACTCAGCTCAGCTGGAGTTCTCAAGACTACCACATTCTGGGTCTGCCACTTCTTTACTTAGTCTACTGCACCTCCCAGGACCTAAAAGCATTTCAGTTGTGATTCTGGCCCTACTGTTGTTTATCTTTAAACTAGTTTAATTTTGAATTTTG